TATCTCTCTCTCTCTCTCTTTCTTTCTCTCTACCTCTCTTCTTTCTCCTCTCTATCTTCCTCTCCGATGCCCTATCTTTATATTTTCTCCATTTCTTTCATTCTAATTATTTTCCCTCTATGCCTTTCTCATTCTCTGACTTCTCTATGATGACGTTATCTATGGGATTCTCATCTAGATGCAAGATATATATCTAAAATTTCGAATAAAAGATTGAATATAGAATTAATATAATCTTGAATTTATATGGGAATATTAAATCGGTATGGCCAGCTTTGTTATGCCGCGGAGCATCGTATATTATAAAAATATTGAATAATTTCCTTGCTCCTTATCATCTTCCATGAATAGCACTCATATACTGTAATGATCACTCACAACTCACGGATTTGCTACACGACCGCGGAAGCAGCGGGCCCCCCGGTAGCATCAGTTTGGACTGGAAGATGCTACCAGTACTATTGATTAGGAAGATATGATGAGATCAGATCATGATTAATTTTTTCTTATTTGTAGCACAAGACCCCCTACTACTCTTACTTTCTACCACTACTCCTGCTACTACTACTATTACTACTACTACGATCACTACTACCACCTACTAGAAGGTGAGTTTCTCTGGTAATTTCCTAAAAACGTCTGCCATTTTAATGAAATTCTCAAGATAGGTGACGCGTCTGTGACGTCACGTTTTGAAATATATTCAATATATGTCAAGACGAGGAAATAGGCGCGTCGTCCATGGCATTGCTATAAAAGTCTCTCTATTGAAGCATCAAACCTACCAAATAGACGCCTCGATTTCTTCAGCCACAATGCATAACAAGAAAGATGCATTCCCTATGAACTATCAAGCGGTGGAGTCGTAAGACTAGCTCTTATTTTTGCTGAAATACCGTCGATCCGCGAGCTCTCAGAGTGCAATCATCCATGCCACCTCTGCATTTGCAGAGGCACTGCCGTGCAGCAACTCTGGAAACTGAAACATCATCTTGCAAGAAATACTTAGTCAGGGGTTAACATGGGCCATCGCGTGCGATCGGCATTCCTGAATCCCCGTCTTCACAACACGACGAGCAAAGGGAACGGCTACATTTTGCACACAGCTAACGACGTTCATCGTATTACTTACATCGTGAAATGACCTCACATGCATGTCCCTTCAGCGCTCCGTCGCACTTCTAAGGCTGACAAAAGCAAGCAAAAAGTTTAGAACGTGTAAAACTTTCATGCGTGCGATGCCGGCACTAAGCGAATTGGCCCCTGCGTTGCACCCCCAAGAGAAGCATTCGAAACTGCTGGTGCTCGCAAGTGCCGTGAATTCGAGCATGCTTTCAGGAGTTCTGTCCGTGTCGTCTCCACCTGAACATGTCACCCCAGTTATGCTTTCTGCGAGGACGATTGTTCTGACATCACCGGGTCGACTACCACATCGACATCCAGTTGACCACGACCACAACAACCACAACGACAACTACAACCACAACTACAACAACTACAGCTACAACTGCAACAACACCTACCACTCTCCTAGTCCTAGTCCTAGTCCTAGCCCTACTGCTACTCCCACTCCTACTTCTACATCTACACCTGCATCTACGTCTAATTACTATTACTTCTAATTCTACTGCTACTGCGACAGCTACTGCGACGGCTACTGCGACTGCTACTGCGACTGCTACTGCGACTGGTACTGCGACTGCTACTGCGACTGCAACTGCGACTGCAACTGCAACTGCAACTGCAACTACTACTACTACTACTACCACTACTACTACTACTACTACTACTACTACTACTACTACTACTACTACTTCTTCTACTACTTCTACTACTACTACTACTACTGCTGCCATTACAAGAGCCACTGTTGCTTGTCTACGAACGGACCGAGGAAGTCGCGACTGTGATTGAAGCCAGTCGTACTACACGAAGGTTGCTGCTGGGAATGTGGTGCTCGTGACGACAACGATGAGATCACGATGACGACAGTGCTACCGCCACGTCTCTGCATTCGTCGGCTCCGTACTTCGGTAGCTGTAGTTTGGCGTGCTTTCAAAATTGCTGATACTTGCTGATTGTGGTTCTGCGCCTCCGTCCGTAGGATATTCAATGCAGTTCACGTTCACGTGATTAGGTCCGTGAAGATGATGACGATGATGGTGCCTATGGCGTTAGTGTTGACATGCACGGTCCTGTTTTACTACAAGTAGATCAACAAACACCCGAAAACCCGAGGCCTGCGCTAAACACATGCAAGCGCTATAGGTCCAAAGCGTCCAGAATAAACCACACCACCGCTTATCACGCCCACCACTAATTCAGACAACAGCTGCTACTAAATACTGCGACGAGTAAGAGTATTTACATATCACTACGATGACAGTCATAGTCATAAGAGCTCTTAGGATTCAGTCTTTCCTGAATAGTATCTATTAACTGCTGAGCGCTAACCGCTGACTTCACACTCTACATATTAATGATTCATGAGTCATGACTGGTTACCAAATTCTCACTCGGGTAATATTTGGCATGCGCGGCCCGCCAAAACCTGAAACCGTAAAGTCCGACATCCTTCAAGCAGTTGCGAGGAGGCGTGGATCTGCTGTGGACAATCGAAGGCAACGGAACATAGCCGCAGAAACTTCAAAAGCATGTATAGACGAAAGTAGCTGCCGGTGCGCGGAATGCAGACCTGACTACGGCAAAGAGTAGCATGGACCGATGGCCATTCTTGCCTTTCTTCCGCGAGCTATGCTGATGCTTGTTGGATCTTGACCCCTGTATCCCTGTCGGAATGTGTACTATCGAGACCCAAGGCTCTCATCACGACGCCCATCAACAACGAACTTCCAGAACCTCAAGCCAAAACCTTAAGCCGTCATCTGCATCGAACAGACAACACCGAGAGGTGGGCGAAAGCTTCGCCGTCGATGGCAATATGCGAGGGAGCGGACAGAGAGAGAGAGAGAGAGAGAGAGAGAGACTGCGAAAGAGCAATACAATCATACCAACCGTGCTAAGTAACATGCCGCACAGACCTGGCTTCTACGCGGGGCCCCGATCCTGCTACGACAGGGGCCAATCCCGAGCCCATGCCTTTCGGAACAAAACCCTCCTGGAGTCCTCCCGCGTTGCGTGCCTGGAGAGCCGCGTGTGCCAGAACTCGTTACGGCCCTGAGTCACGAACGACATCCACTCAATTTCTCAATGAAGCACAACGAGGACAAGGAACATTGAGAGTGCATAAGCGATCCTGGAGCGAAAAATCATGCAATACAGCATAATAGCGACACTTTCAACAAAAGTAACAGCCCTCCCAACAAGCCCTAAATCTTAGTCTTACTCTTTGGGAATGTCTCAAACTCAGGCGAAGCTGAAAGCTGGAGAACCACTATAGACCAGCGGCGGCCCAAATGCCTAAATTTGCTTGAGCTTTTAAGGTTTTTTCCTCCTACTTAGCAAGGACGAAGCCCGCGTTGCGGGGTAAGTTCAGCAAGAGTTGAAAGCAGCTTCACTCTTCGGAGCTAACTGCAACTCTCCAACAGTCAGGCAGGTTGATGGCATAGATGGCTCAAAAGGCATCATCGCATATGTCGCTTTAGGGTTTAAGGCTTTGGGCTCGCAGAAGTTACTGCAGGTCTCAAGGTTTTCTTGGGGTTCGGATCTTTGGGGTGTGAACGTGGTGCGGTCGCGCCTTGGTGCCTAGGTCCTAGGAAACCCTAAACCCTATAACTTTTCATTTAGCAAGGCTTTTGCGGCATCTTCTACTGTACTTACCAAGTTATGTAAGACATGGAAGAGCAATGCCAACCTGCAGCCGCTTCGTCCAAGCAGCCTCTGTGCTTCCCCTAAACCACCCCCCAATCCCAGAATCCCATGCCCTAAGCCCTAAACGAAAAATCCCAAAATCCTAAAGACTCAAAGGGGCAACCACCAAAACGACCAAACCCTAACGCACCAAGTCCTAAACACGCAAAATGAACAAATCAAAACAACCCCCAATCCTTTACACCTTTATTGGGCACTCAACTCTGGCGTGACTCCTCCTCGCCCCGACTCTTACTCTTGCGATTGGGCACATTGCAAACGTATCTTTCTGTCTCTCCGTCGGCTGGTAGATCAGAAGCCTAAGCTATACAGGGTTTAGGGTTTTAAGGCTTAGGGATTTTGTTTTGTCCAGGGCTTGGGGTTGAAGGCCTGCAAGGCTTGTGTGTGTTTTGATACGTCCCGTTTCCGTCTGCATGATCCGGGAAGCGGCTCCTGGGGCTTTAAACTTTGAAGTCATAGCAGCGGCTGTAGAGGCAGTCACTTCCCTGGTAAACAAACAACGCCCAACCTTGAACACTAAGTCTCAATTTGTAAATTCTCAAAGAACGGCAGCCAGAGACCGTGAATCATGAGCCTACATAGGCCGACCTAAATGGCCCCCTAGTCCTCCAGGTGCAAATGCCCTGAAACCTGGAGTGGGCAAACACGGATGCTCCAAACTCATCATGGTTTAGGGTTTAGGGTTTCTTGAACCGATTACCGGTTTCAGTGCTGCTTGACTTGTCATTGCCTGTGGCGCCCAGGCCCGACTTGAGATGTCACTACACGTACCAATGGTTTCCGCTTATAGTCCCCATGTGATCACTCTAGTACTGTATACCGCCTCAAAACACAGAACCCATGCTACTCACAAGGGCCCCGGCATTATGCTACTTAGTCGTGATGAAACCCGACATCCTTTTTTGCTACTGGACTCAAAGCTGGAATCTAGCCAGACCACGACCTGTAATCATCTAAACGCGAAGCTCTACGGCTGCTTTGGTCTTTGCCGGATCACGATTCACTGAAGAGTTTTGGGATTTAAAGGGGCTTATAAGTTGAAGGGCTTTATACGGGTACTTTAAGGCAACAGGCCTGAGGTAAACGGATTCCTACAAGGGTTCGGGTTTCGCTCTTTGCAGGCCCCGAGGCCCATCCCAAGGATTGCAGGGTTTCTGCGGGGTGGTCAACGTCGTGGTGGTGGCCATGCTGCAGGCATCGACCCAGGGAACGGAAAGGTTCGTGTGGCAGCCGGTGCTGGAGCAGAGGATAGCAGTTGCCTCTCTGGACACAGGCAGCTCGAGGGGTGCTGTAAAAGTCCCAGCGCCATCTCCACATTCCAACCACAAGTCCGAGACGGCATACTGATCTCCGGTCCCCCCTTGATGGACCACGATTCTTGACACGTTGATCTCTGTGGATAAGTCCAAAAGGAGGGCTTGCGCTCCCTTCTTGGAGTCGTGCCAGCAGGTGCAGCCCAAGCCCACGTCGTGATCACCTGCCCAAAACGTCTGAGTAGGAGCCATCCACCGCACCAGCGACCGGGTAGTCCAGCGCTGAGCCTTCGGGGTTCTTCTAGGTCTCTTTGAGGGGTCTCCCTATTCTCAAGATTTTCAGAAGCTATCCGGAGTTTCAATCTTTGCAAGAGATGACCCATACCATAATCCTGACACCACCCTAAGGCCCCAAAGTAGTTCCTTTTTGGGATTACCTTATAGGATTCTAAATATTGACCCCAAAAAGGATCTACTTTGGGGCCTTGGGGTAGGGACACCAATTCAGAGAAACACCTGCCTGTCGTAGTACTGGCAGAAACTCGCAGCAGAGAGCCGGATGAGTCGAAGACTTCAACCTCGTAGAGGTCCCAGCTTGCGTGGCAATAGCGGGCGATAGGGCCTCCATTAGAGATCCCTAAGTGTCGGTAGCCCCTCCATGGGTTGCAAGAAACGTTGCCGATTAAAGTCGCCGTAGTAGTCGTGCTCGGACACGTGTTGTCAATCCACGCATCGGTCAGGCTTGCAGTACATCCCCTTGGGGAGCACTGGATGTCAGTTTTGGCACGAGAGACTTAAAACTCCAAGGCGTTCGGATCGAAAAAACCGATACTGTGCCCGCACCCGATCCGCAACTCAGACATGGCCCAGTCATCTTCCAGTCCTACTTGTCGGGTATCATGGGGAACTAAGGTTAACCTTTTTCGGTATATAGGGATTACACAGGGACTATACTACCCAAAAAAGGTTAAAGCTTACCTGCTCTACTACTAGGAAGTCCTCCCTGATGCACCACGATTCTCGAGACAGGAACTGTGGAGCGCATGTCCAGCAGAAGCGACTGAGCTGCCTTCTTAGCCTCCGACCAGCATCGGCAGCCTAGCCCAACATCGTGTCCGCCAGCCCAGAAAGTGGAGAGCGACCCACCCACGGCTAAGGAAGCAGGATGCCCTATTGCCGACCCTGTTGGGCTGCTTGCAACGGGGAACAGCAGCGACCCGGCAACGTCGGAGACTTCCAGCTCGTACAGGTCCCAGCTGGCATCACAGAGGACTGAAGCAACAGGCCCAGTGTTCGAGATTCGCAGGTACCTGTGCGTGCCCAAGAGGCGAAAGCAAAAAAATTGCCAAACCTTGCCGACCCTTATGGCCGTCCCCGGCTTTCTGACATCGGCCGCGACAGCTTTTACAATCCAACAGCCCCGTCACTGTTTAGTTTACAGTTGGGGGTCCCCATCGCGAGAAGTTTGCTCGGTTTCTGCCTCTGATCTCTTTCCTCTTTCCCAAAGCACCCTCATCCTAAGCCCTAAACCCTAAACCCCCAACCCCTCTCTCTCTCTCTCACTCTCTCTCTCTCTCTCTCTCTCTCTCTCTCGCTCTCTCTCCCAACCCCTAAACCCCGGCCTGTATCCCTCAAAGGGATTGCAGGCTTCCGAGGTGCAGAACCAGGTCAGAAGCTGGCAGGCCAGTGACGTTGCGCAAGGTCCTGCGTTTAGGGGTTTGGGGGTTTGAGGGGTTTGGGGTTTAGTATAGAGGATAAGGGTTTGGACGCTCACACTCGCACACAGCAGGCAAGGCTCTGCATAGTCCACAGTATCTCCACTACTCTCATCAGGCAGCGCTGCACCATCAACAAACCAACAAAATACAAGGGTTTAGGGGTTGGGAGGGTTTAGCGTGTAGGGCCTAAAAGGGTTTGGGGTTTTAGGGGTTGGGGTTTAGGGTCTTGGGGTTTCGGCGATCACACTCGGAGGGTCAAGGGAGGCCAGGAGCTTTCTATTTCGGCCGACAAAGTAGGGATTCTAGGGAGATACGAATGTACTCATCCCGAACTTTACCTGAAACCCAAATAGCCTACCTTTCTAGAGCTCCTTGCTGTGATTTCCCTGTTTTTCAATCCTGAAGAACCTAGGTTGTATAGGAGTCAGGTACCTTGCATCCCCAGCCTCTACCTGAAAGCTAAATAGCCTACCTTTTTCAAGAAGGCTCCTTGTTGTGATTTCCCTTTTTTAAATCCCGAAAAATCAAGGTTGTATAGGATCCAGGTACTTTGCATCCCTAGCCCCAGAATCCCATACAAACGCCGGTCTTCGCGGCATCACCTGCTGGTGGCTCCGTCTGGTGCATGGCAGGGTGATTTGCGTTTCGGGATGCAAGGTTGACTGAATTGGTGTTCGGTTTAGGGTTTAGAGGCGGGCTTCAGGGGTGCATGGTTAGAAAACGCCATAATTCTCACACCTGATGCCATGCTCGCGGGTTTACTTTGCATGTCCGACAGGCCTCATCAAAGCCACCCTATACTCCTTGAAACTCACAGATCCAGGATGTCGAACCGGGTCATGAGCATTCAACCAGAATGAGACACTTGGAGGCTCAAGGGACTTAGTAAGTAACAGCTTAGAAGTAGGAGTTATAAGTCCCCTCAAACGGAGTTGCCCGAATTAGTATTATAACCCTGCTAATAGCCGACTTACTAAGTCCAAGCCCCGTGGTCCTCTCAAGCAGGGGGTTCGAGGCAAAAGTTAACTGGTCAAACCCGAGCCTAGTTAATGTAGGAGCCTGATTAAGAAACCTTGGGCCTTTATTAGGGTTCCTTTAAAGGGGTCTGTAAGGGCTACTTATAAGAACGTAGGAGCCTGATTAAGAAACCCTAGGCCTTTTATAGGGTTCCTTTCTGGCCCAGGGTTCCTTAATCAGGTTCCTACGTTGTCATGTGCCGAAGTGACCACGAAGTGATGTAGAGGCCGTAAAAATTAGAGTAGGGCTTGGGGGTATACTATACAAAAATCATATTAAGGAGCCCCCAAACCCTATTCTAGCTGATAAGGCTCTTACATTATGGAGACATGGCAAACGGAACACAAGCGCACTTGGCATGCTTTTGCACACCACTGTAAGTTTACGTACGGGTTTGGATGGTCTTAGCAGCTGTCAAGCTGCATGCTGCACGGGCCATGAATTAGTAGAAAACCTGCATACAAGTGACGACAGATCTTCAATGGCCTCCATGTGTGCCATGAAGTCTTTCGTGCTTGCGGCCGCTTAGCAGCTCCAATCGTGGGACAAGCACTTGGTGTCATGTGAGGGTGTGGAAGCAACCCATCACAACGCCAACGAAACTTGCCGAAACAGATGTATCCTGCACATGCTAGCAGCTAGCATCCGCAAAGGCGGTGATGCAAGTGGGTATATCACCATACAGTGTACATTCTGATATAGGCCTATGCAATAACGTCAAACTGCACAAATCCCGCATACACACCTGCAGTCCATGCTGAGGGGCTGACCACGCAGCACAAAACCGCACGGCTCAAGTGTTGAAACTGATTTCAGCCTTCTACACAAAGATTACCTGCGCTCATATTCATTGATGATGGTTTCCCGTGGCCGTGTCGGATTTACAACACCAAAAGCCTGCCTACGCAGGCCTAGGCGTGTCGGAGCCTTGAAGCAGATTCGCCCTGGGTGTAGTTCACAGCTTTCAACAGAAGGCCCCCGGCACGTCAACTAGACGACAAAGCTACAGGGCTCCAGGCTCACAGGAAGCTTCTCTGCAGACTCCGCGGGGTGGATCTTGAATGGGCGAGCACTCTTCCTGGTGGGAACAGACTGCTGCCACAAGGCTTTTGCCAAGGCAGCAAGGGCGACTGAGTCATCCATCTGCACAAAAGCGTAGCCCTTGCACTTTGCTGGGCTTGTCTTGGGCATCTCCAGAACGAAGTCGTCGGTCGTTTTGGTGCTGAGATAAACGCGAAGTTCCAGCTCTGTGCAGCGTGCAGGGACGTTGCGGATCATCATCTTCGTGGAGGAGAGCCATTCCATGCTGTCCGGGTGCAAGCCGAACTCCTCCGACCCTTAGGATCGCGGGGATGATGAGCCCTAGACCCAGACCGTAGTCAGAGTCTACTCTAACAAGTCTATAAAATTCCCTCACAACCTCCTGCGATGTCCCCATGCCACATGTACAGCTCACCATGTACAAGCCCGTCGCCAACCTGTAGGACAGCAACTTAAAGCAAACTGGAGCCAAGCACCTTCAAAATCAGCCGAAGACCTTGGGTTTCATCTGTCTAGGCTGCGTCCAAGGTGCAAAAGCCACACTTCTGAGTGAACTTCTGGGGTTGATGGGCACTCACCTCCCATCTCAAAACTTGAAGTTGTGGTGCGTAACCGCTACTGCTCTGCTTCTGGCCAGCTATGCCAGTGTGAAGCGACTCATGGTATACCTTTTTGCGCACCTCGAAGGGGGTGCTCAATACCTTAACAGAGTAGCGGGGGCCACCTGCAAGACGCATCTTGCGATGGCTTGGCTCGATGATGAAAGACCGGAACCAAAATACCACTTTGAGTATGACATAGTGACACAGTATGATTGAAGCACGTAGTACGGCATACACCTTGAGCTCCAAATACACGAGAGATGCCAACATGAACCCTACTGTGAATTGTAGAACTCTTGAACTCTTGATACATTCTTCTACGAACCCTCTTCTGGGTGGCGAGGAGTCAGTCTCAAAATCAAGCCCAAGAAGACCTCCTTTCAATGCTTAAACCCCGAATGCAAGCCCCGAAACCCCCAAAACTCTTAACCCCGAAAACCCCTGGAAAGACATAAACTCTGACATGACATCCCCTCTAAAGCAAAGAGGCCCGTGAAGACGGAGGCAGGGTCGTTTTCAATTCTAGCCCGCCCCTCGACCCACGTGGAACCTCTCCGGTCCACCTCAACCATGGGTTTTATACTCTGAACTCAACGCCCCCCAACCCCCACCACGCTCCCCCACCATCATGCTCCCCACCTCCTCCAAAGCTTTGAGAAGCTGGAGCTGCATGCTCACGGTCTCCATGTGCTCCAGTCCTCGCACTGGTCCAAGGCTTCGGGCGTTCGGTTTAAGCGGATTCCAGAAGCCAGAAGCGTATAGAAGGGCATGCGAAGGTTTCAGAAGGGCACCTGACGTTGCAAGTATGGCACTTGAGTCGGGGGCTCGGAAGGTTTTGTAAGGTCTCCGGGTTGGAGGTGTATGAATTGCAAGTTTGCACGGTCTCGGGCCTAAAGGGCCTAAAGTCTAGTAAGCCACTGGAGTTTCGAGTTGTGGCAACGGCATTGCTGGCTTTGTAAAGCTTTTGAGGCAGTTTCCAAGGCTTCGGGACTCTCATCTAGTAACCAGTACGGCTGCCTGTTTAGGATGTCGGGCGTAGCGGTTACGGGTTTTTATCAGGCTACGGGCTTAGGACTCCAAGGCTTTGAGCAAAGTCGTGTTCGGCAAGACAGTCCCAAAGCCAAACACCCCCGGTCGGATCCCGTGTACACATAATACTATACCATTAATACCATACCATGCCAGACGATACCATGCAATGTACGTTATACATATGTATAATACAATACACTACAGTACGTACGTACAATACATGAAATACATACAGTCACACATATGTAACATGCATGCATGCATGCACGGGTGCATGCATGTATGTATGTACGTATGCTTACATACAAGTACGTCACATACTGACATTTCGGGATTAGATGCCTTTCGTGCACGCGGAATAGGGTGCTCCAATGCTCAATCAACACAGAGAGGCGACCAAAACACCTTGGCGGTCCTTCGACCCTCTTCACACACAAGCACACGCACAGACATCAATCAAAACTTTGTCGGGTCGTCATCCTTGCAAGCTTTCAGAGAAACCCTGAAGCGTTTCATCTTCAGCACCCCAGTAACAAGGCATCCCTGACATACAAGAAAAACCGGCCTGGAGGTGGGCGAACAGCTCCCAGGTGCAACCATGATGGAAACATCGGGAACTGTGTGTCCTGGGCTAGGACATTACTGGGACCGCCCAGCAGACAGAGTCGCACTTATGGACATTCGCCCGAACTGAAGACAAACAACGCAAGTCCAGGTGATCTTCAGAGGCAGCAGCAGCACTGGCAGTGGCAGTAGCAGTAGAAGTAGTTGCAGATGCAGCGGTAGCCGTAGCGGTAGCTGCACCTACTGGTACTGCTGCTGTCGCCGTTGCAGTTGCTGTCTGCGATGGCATCGCTGTTGCTGTTGTTGCTGTTGTTGCTGTTGTTGTTGTCGTTGTTGTTGTTACTGTTGTTGGTGGCAGCACGTGCGTCTGCGCGCAGAGCATGGTGGAGCGATTTCGGGGCTGGCATGTGCTGAATCTCGAGTTTTCGCACGTTCCTCACCCGGAAATCGGCTTTGGCAGGCTACACTGACAACAAAATGCTGAGCTCCCCATTTCGCATCGTGTTTTCAGTGTTTTCCTATGTGTGTCGCATTTCGCGTCGGTTTTTACGGTGTTGTTGCCGACCCTCGATGTTTTGCACATGCCAGCTCGGACTTCCATTTAGGTGATTGTCAAAATTATGGTCTCTTTTTGGGTACTCTAAATAATAATAGGTGCCGTCTTATAATAAGGACCCAAAAAGGGACCCTGATTTTGACAACCACCCATTTGTACTTCAGCTCCGTGCAGGGGTGTGGTGGGGAAGGCTGGGGGCTGATAACGTCCATGCGAACGCGGATTCTGTCTCTAGGATGCCCAGTAACCTAGGAATAAAAAGGGCTCCCTTTTTGGTATTGGGTAACTTTATCAGGAACCTAGGACTACAAAAAGGGAAAAATGGCCCACTGGGTATCCTAGGTCTTCCGTTTCTCTTGTTGTTCTGTGTTGTGTGGATTGGTGGGGAGGGCGGAGATGGCGGCGTTTCGCATCGGTTTTTGCAGTGTTTTCCTAAAATTTCCGGACAGCGCTGTGCCGATCCTCGACTTTTCGCACACGCTTGGACTTCCATGTGCATGTAGTTGACCTCCGTGCCGGGGTGGGGAGGGGGGGGGGATTGGGGAGGCTGATGACGTGCGTGCGGTTGCGGCTTACATGTACTCTGTCTCTCTCTGCTCTGTGCATTGGTGGGGAGGGGGGGGGATGTTGATGATGTTGATGTTGTCTAGTCTAGCATGATGTTGATTGCTTGCACGGAAGATAACGATGGCGAGGACGATACATACGAAGATAGCAATGACACTGACAATGTTGCTCTGTTACGTTGCTTTTACGACGACATCAATACACAAACACTCGTGTATTCTGGCTTTCTAGACCAAATCTTCGCAACTGACTACAAAAATCAACAAACGAAAATACGAAAAGCACGGTTTTTGGGTCACTTTCGCAAAAATAACTCACCAACAAACAAGAGCAAACTACTATGAACAAAGCTCCGCAATAACTTCTTGTTCACGAAAACCACACAAAACTCGAGGTGTTCAGGCTTTTGCCCAAAAACCCTCCAAAAAAAAAAAAGACACATGCCGCGCGGCGGCAGAAGCACGTGCTTCCTTGTTGTTGCTGCCGTTGTTGTGTCTGTTGTGTCGTCCTCGTCGAGACGACGACACCCGCCCTTAACGTTGCTAGACTGATGGTCATACAGATAGTTCCAGCAATAGAAGAGTGGCAGTGGCAAAATGTTTTATACTTAGACTTAGACTTGTTACTGCCTAAAGCCATCACAGCCTCAAAGCACTCAACACCCTGAACCCTTCATGCCAACCTGAATGTGAAAGCACTGGTAACCGTCGAGGGCAGCTTTTTACTAAGGCTTCTGAGTTAGGGGTTGTTCTACATCACCATTACCCAGTGTAAGAACAAGGATCTCCAACGTGACTCTAAGCGGGTTTCAGAGCTTCGAACTGTGCCCATCAGTGTGGTGGATTCCCCAGCTACACCGCTTCAAGCCACAACACCTGGGAGTTTCCGAAAATAGGGGACCCCAATATGGTACCCTAAATAAGGCACCCCTGATTTTCGCAAACTCCCACCTGTTGACACAATAGACAAGTTCATGCTTTGTACAAAGCAGAGAAAAAGATGCCCTGGGCCAGGCCTCTACCTGTGTTGGGCCTTAATAGTTACTTCTACTATTTTGGGGCTTCCTTACCATAGTTATAATACAAGGGGCCCCAAAACCCTGTTCGAATTATTAAGGCCCTTATATATATATATATATATATATATATATAATATATACCCGGTTCGAATTATTAAGGCCCTTATATATTAAGCCCCTAGATCGGTGAACACTGCAGCTCCAAAGACCATCCACGAGAAAACACAGCTGCGACCGTAACCAAGCAGCAGCCATGCTCATTCCCAGCGCCATGATCGTCAATCTCAGTGGTCCTGAAGGCGCAGCTTTTCAAGCTTGGTACGAACTTCCTGATCGTGCGCACTGTGTTGCAACAAACACCGCATCTGGTGATTGGTTATTGCTTTGACGACAATCTCGGCTTGTCATGCTGGCGACGATTGTGCGAATGGTGGCAACGATGAGATGCTGGTTGAGTGAGGCTGACTACGACAGCTTGCCATCCTCTAAAATTCACCCCAGGTCCCTCGGCAGCATGCACTTGACTCCTTAGACCCCACACGTGGCTTTAAATCATGTACTAGTTCAAACGTCTTCAAATGTCTTTGAGTGCACAAGCCGAGCTAATGAAATCCGAGGCACGGGATTTGTCGAGGACGGTGCGCACCAACCCACCCTATCTTCAAAGGCTGCAAACTGCATCAGAATCGTTCGGGCAAGGATTGCGTCAATTCACTTTGCTCTGGGCATTTGAGTGTAAAGCGTAAGGGCCCTCTCAGAGTCCTAGCCAATCCTAGAGCTGCCTCATTAGACAGCATCATGCAAAGCCATCCTGAGCACCCTGCTACTTACAGAGCCGGATGTCGAGTCTGTCAGCACCCAACTCTGCTGAGACTCTGCTGCCGGCAGCAAATGGGTCTTTCGATAAGTTTTGAGAACATCTCTGAAACAACAAGTCGTGAGACCAGCTGAAGTAGGAAAAGACCAACATAGCTGCATGCCTGCTACCAGCAGCCTCGCACTTCGACGGAGACGTGTGCGGTGCTCCGGTGTGGCATAGTATCGTTAGGGTGAGGAAGCACCACGAATGAAAAACACCCATCACCCAAACACAGAACAACATCAAGAGCCCTCTGCTAAAGCACACTTCTCGGCTGGACCTCTACGGAAGTCTCTGTCACATTCGTTGTCGTCTGTTGAGCCATCCCTCCTGGACTTTAAGCCCTACTGTTGATGGGCAAAATCCTTCATTACCCATAATAAGGAATATACCATAATTCCCATATTTTAGGGTCCTTAAAGTAATGCAGGATTTGTATCATCAACCGTATCAACCCCTTAACCCCTAAATCCTCAATGCAGCGAACTCTATATCAAATGCAAATCACTCTTCCCCCAAATTCCAACAGGGGTCCTAGCTACTCCGGGGCTTAGGGTTCCTTTAAGGGTTTAGGTACCTCTGAGAATTTAGGGCTTTAAGGGGTTAGGGCTCCTATGGGGGATACTTTCCCAAATCATAAAGGAAGTTCCTAATATAGAAACCCTACGTTCTACTACAGTATTATTGATGACCCTTGTATAGAAACCGTAGATTCTACTGTATTCTACTATATCGGTACTTCGGACCCTTTCGGATGTCACCCCTCGAAGTCTACGCAGCGTTTGGCTTGGCATCACAGGAGCTTCGGGTGAGCCATGGGCTGAAACACAATGAGATCTAGACCTTCAAATATCCCTCAGTTAACGAGTATGCCTTAAAGGGCTCCTTAACGGGATTTAGAATCTATGAGGGCTTCAATAAGGGTGCAGTACTACAGGAACTATGGAATAAGGCTTCAATCAATCATAGTAGGGAACCTGCCCCAATTGAAGGGTTTTGGAGGCTTTGGGGAGACAGGGGATTTCACTCAGGGTTTGGACTCGAACACTCGCGAAGCAGGCACGGATCCAAGCGATAAGTCTGAACCTGAGGTTGCTGTGGGGACATCTGCTCACTTGGGGTACCCAAAGGGTCCTATGTACTGGTATGGGGGATACTTCCCTCAGTCATAATAGTAATTCCTAATATGGAAACCCTACATTCTACTATATCGGTACATAGGACCCTTTGGGGTATTGGGGTGTGGGGTGCAGTAGCTTGATTCGGGTCAGGCACGTTGGACGCGCTTCTTGTTGTCATGCAATGAAGCGACCACGAAGCATTGAGCTATGGCAAAAGGCACAGTGTGCTGGGCATCCTTTTGCACTCCACTGCATGTCTACTACATACGGGTTTGGATGGTCTTAGCAGCTGTCAAGCTGCATGCTGCACGGGCCATGAATTAGTAGAAAACCTGCATACAAGCGACGACAGATCTTCAATGGCCTCTATGTGTGCCACGAAGTCTTTCGTGCTTGGGGCCGCTTAGCAGCTCCAATCGAGGGACAACCACTTGGTGTTATGTGAGGGCGTGGAAGCAACCCATCACAAGCCGAAACACATGTATTCTACAGATGCCAGTAGGTAGCATCCGCAGAGGCAGTGATGCAGGTGGGTATGTCTGACAGTACATATGCCTCTGATTGCATTGCATACGTACCACCCTACAGTGACATCATACTACACGAACCACCAACACACACCTGCAGTCCATGCTTGGGGGCTGACCACGCAGCACTAAACCACACGGCTCAAATCTGTTGGATTGCCAAATCCTTCGATGCAAAAGCGCCTGCCTGTGCAGGCCGAAGCGTGTCAGAGTCTTCAGGAAGACTCGTGCTGGTGTAGTTCAGAGCTTCACAGATGGTAAGGACGACTAGTTTGGTATAATGTATAAGTAACTATTAACAAACTATAGGTGCAATGGATTTTAAGTGGAGCCTCCGACACGTCAACTAGACGAAGAAGCTAAAGGGCTCCTGGCTCACAGGAAGCTTCTCTGCCGACTCTGCGGGGTGGATCTTGAATGGGCGGGCACTCTTCCTGGTGGGAACAGACTGCTGCCACAAGGCTTTTGCCAAGGCAGCAAGGGCGACTGAGTCATCCATCTGCACAAAAGCGTAGCCCTTGCACTTTGCTGGGCTTGTCTTGGGCATCTCCAGGACAAAGTCGTGGGTCGTTTGGGTGCTGAGATAGACGCGAAGTTCCAGTTCTGTGCAACGTGCAGGGACGTTGCGGATCATCATCTTCGTGGAGGAGAGCCATTCCATGCTGTCCGGGTGCAGGCCGAACTCCTCCGACCCTTAGGATAGCGGGGATGATGAGCCCTAGACCGAGACCCTAGTCAGGGTATAATCTAGCAAGTCTATAAATTTTCTCACAACCTCCTGCGATGTCCCCATGCCACATGTACGAGCCTGTTGTCAACCTGCAGGGCAGCAACTTAAAGCAAACTGGAGCCAAGCACCTTCAAAATCAGCCGAACATTTTGGGATTCATCTGTCTGGGCTGCGTCCAAGTTGCAAAAGCCGCACTTCTGAGTGAACTTCTGAGGTTGATGAGCGCGCACCTGCCGTCGCAATACTTGAAGCTCCGCTGCACATGCAGGATCACTAATGCTCCTGCACTTGCCAGATTACCTCGTGGCAAACCTTCCTGCGCACTTCGAGGTCGCACTGTAACACTGTAGGTGCCCAGTCCCCGTAACCAGAACCAAACGCCAGCAGACCAATAAAGGGGCCTTAAAAATCATAATAGGGTCTTGGGGCCCATGATACAACAATTACAATAAGGAACCCCAAATAGAGCAGGTAATTATTAAGACCCTATAGTAGCTTCTAGAATCATCTTTTAGCTTGGATGCCTGTCTCAGTCTCTCCGAAACAAGACGGAGAAAAGCAAATAAAGAGGGAGGGAGCGACAAATAACATGTGATTGCGCCAGCATTTCTGCATGTATCCGCGCGTTTGTGCGTATCTGTGTCTTGGTGCTTGTCTACAATGTGTGCTTGCATGCATCCACCCTTGCCTGTGTGTCTTTCTGCCTCCCTCTGAGTCTGTCTCTACGCAATGACTGGGCTGACTGTCCGTTCCAGCTCTTGTGTCTTTGTGCGCTTATGCAGCCTGCTCTCCACTGTAAACATTACAGCCCTATCCTCTCTTACCATCATTGGGCAAAAGGCAGGGTCATGACAGCGACATACGGCAAGGCCGGAGACTGAAAATCCGGTTTCCAGTGTCTCAGAGCTGAAGACGTTTACGCTCTCGCAACTCGGACTCGCCATACGAGGTCTCTAGAGCTGAAGAATTTCAGGGTTTGGGGTTACCCATTTGGGTAGTTATCAAAAACATGGCCCGTTTTGGGGTACCCTAAATACTGTATTCGGTAACGTATTATGATAAAGACTCCAAACGGGACCATAACTTTGACAGCCACCCATTTGTGACATGTGTGTGTGTGTGCGCGTGTGTGTGTGTGTGTGGGTGGTTGGCCGGGCTTGTCAACACATGAGGAGCCCGTCTCAAAGCGAATCCAACTAGGCCCGAGACTACCCAGAAACCCTCAAGGACAAATCCCTGAAGCTGCCCTGAAATCCTATAAATCTTAAATCTTACATCTAATCCCTCCCCCTGAACCCTAAGCCCTAGGCCCTGAAGCCCTAAATCCTCCACACTCCCCGACCTCCTCCAAAGCTTTGAGAAGCTGGAGCTGCAGGCTCTGGACCTCCATGTGCTCCAGTCCTGCAAAAGGGTTGTTTTCCCTCCCACTTAGCAAGGACGAAGCCCACATCCCGCATTGCGGGGAAGTTCGGGTTGCAAAGGGTTTCGGGCTTCAGGGGTTTAGGGCTTCAGGGGTTCCACAAGCGTTCGTAAAGGTGTAACCAGGCTTCGGCAGGCATCTGGGATTCTGTGTCCCCTGCTTGAGTTGGCAGGTTTCGCAAGGCCTTGGGACTTGGGTGTGGATTTTTGTCTCAGGTGTAGCAAGGTGCTGGGGTTCGAGTTTTTGTTTTATGTTGGCTTTGCGCGGTTTGGGGTGGCAATAATCCGATCATCCCGCAAGCGGAAGCGCTGAATAGAGGGCATCAGCAGCTCGGAAAGAAGGACAGCAACTTCAGGCAAAGGAACCGACATAGTTGGCTTCCGCTCACTTGCGAAGCTCCAATGCTCCGGCAAAATATAAGGGCGACAGATAGCTACAATTAGCGTTCCTTCGACCCTCCATGCGCACTTTGTCTGGCTTGAGGTCCCAATAAGTATACTAGAATGTACCCCAAAGCCCTCTTTTGATTCTGAAGGCCAATGTATTGCTTCAAACTCCGAGCAGTATACGATCATATACTCCGAAATCCTGTAATCTAAGGCGCCTATATTGCTTGAGTTTCCCGACAATGTAAACCAAAACCCCTATAGTCTCCATTTGTTTTGCCTCCTGAATGGCGTAAGTCAGCGAAGCAGGGTAACGGTTGTTATTGTAGTTCCAATTTTTGGTTTAACCAATTGTATAGTAGGGATCCTACAAAGTCAGCCCAAAAAAGGAACTACAATGGAGACTATAGGTAGTTCTAGAAGCCCCTGTATTGCTTGGTCCCTGAGTCACAAGACAAACGGCCTGGAGGCGGGCGAACAGCTCCGAAGTGCGACCAGGACGGAAGCGTCAGGAACTGCGCATCCTTGGCATGATCGAATTGGGATTTATAGTCTGATGGTTTGGGGGACTAGGAGTTTAGGATTTGGGGGTTTAGGGTTTGACCGGTTTGACGGCCGAGATTCCGGGGGTGTTGAGGGGTTACTTTTTGTGGGACTGTCGATGTGTCTCAAGTAGAGTCGCATGCAGCACCCTAAGAGCCTAATCCTTCAAACCAACTATAACGCTAAACCAAACGCAGCTGTCGGCACAGCTTTCGAGCTGGGAGTTTCCGAAAATAGGGACCCTAAATAGTAGGATCCTTATTATAAGGATCCCAAAATATGCTACCCCCAATATTTGGAAACTCCCAGCTTGAACGCATTGGAGACCCAGAGACCTATGCCCAGATCCCCTCAAGTAAAGAATATTGAGCCTAGCTCGGTTTCAGCATCTACATCACCGTCACCCGGCTTAAAGGAAGGACCCGTAAAGTGCATATTTACCCGATGAGCGTCTCAGCTTTACGGCTGGCAACCCACCAGACATATTGTTCCTCCCCTAACTAAACCCAAAGCCCCAAACCTAAACCCCTAAACCCCTTTTGGCCTGCTGTGATTCCGCCACTAAGCCCCTAAGCCCCGTTTTTACAACTGGACTCTCACGAATGCCAGCAGCAAAGACAAAGGACTCGTGCCTTCCATCTCCACTCTCTTGCAAACCCCGAACCCTTCTGGGTGCTTTGTGCAGAAAACGGGACACTTGAAGCATCTTACAACTTGAAGCCAACAGCCTCGAGAGCCCTACTTACTTGGAGGCAGGGTACTCAGTAAGCAGGTTATAACGGGGGTAACTCCATTCAGGGTACTTATAACTCTATACTTGGAACGTAGTTACGCTAGAATTTCCCTGAACCTTTAAGTAACCGTTGACCGTGACGCAAAGCCGTTAGTCCCTTCTTCCTAAGGTATCGCAGCCCTAGTCGAAAAACCTACCAGCAAACAACTCGCGACCACGCAGCGGTAATGCTCATTCCCAGGGCCATGACTTTCACTGGTCCTCATAGTGCAGCTAATGGGGCTTGGTTTCAACTTTTGAAGAATATAGCTTTCTTGCAAATCTCTCTTGCATGCTGCCGTAAGTTCCCGCCACTATTACCAGGACTGCTGCGATGACTTTTGCTCGGCCTATATAGCCACTACCGTGTTGACTGAACTCCGCCATTGTTCCTGCTGTCGCTGCCCTGCTTGCTGCTGTTGCTGATGATACAGTAGTCATGACGGCGACAAACAGCAGGATTGTTCTTTGCAGTTGGCGGTGATGGTGATGAGGGTGAGTGGTGATGATGATGATCTTCGTTCGCATAGAACGGTGATGATTAAGACTGCTGCTGCTCATGCTTTTGCAGTGTCCCCGTTTCGATTGTGCAGCTGCTGCAACGCCAGTCAACCCCAGGTCCTTCAGACATGCGCCCTTGACTCCTTAAACCTCATCAAACGATGGTCGGGAAAGCAAGCCAAGCGAATGAAAGCCGAGGCGCGGAATGAATCAAGGACAGTGGCGCAAGACGCGACAACCCACCAAACTTCACAGGCTGCAAACTGCGTCGGACAAATGCAGGCATGGATTACGTCGGTCCAAAGAGTAGAAACATCTCAGAAGCAAGTCTGAACTGCTCTTGTGACAGATCCGTTCGTTTGGGAGGAGCGGGGAACCTCTTCTTGCCTCACCGATGGAGAAGTACAGCGCGCTCCAGCCGTGGTTATAACACAAAGACTACCCAAACACAGCCCTAATTGTAAACGGTACAGCTCACGTCTTGGCTGAGTTCTCCACGGATCCAGTTTTCACTTCCTTCTTAATTACCTAGCCTTAACCTATATAATCCCAGATGGTCGAGGGTCCTCTGTGTCAGCTTCATTGTAGCGCTCTTTACGGCTTAAAGAGTTTATACGGTGCCATCTTCCCGCACAAAGAACTCACCAAATCCTTGAAGCGTGGGCAAAGAGAAGGCGAGTTCTTCAGAAGCCGCAAACAAAGCATTGAATTTGACGCCCTCACGAAAAAGACCGGAAGGATGAACTGGCATAGAAGCATTAAGCACGGAAAGATGGATAATTATGTAGCGCGGAGCTGAAATGTTCTCTTGTCTAGGTCGCGAGTCTGGGAAAACAACTTCGCTTGCAAGGCTTCGGGATTAAAATTTGGCTTTCGGGCAGAGGGGAGCTCTTTCCCTAAGGGTCCATGTTCCCAAATAGTATATACTTTGGCCTTGAAGTAATCCCTATTGGGGTACTTTGGGGCCAAAGTAATTATCCGTTATTTGGGTACATGGACCCTTAGGGTTTCAGACTAGGGCTTAGGGTGGCGTGACAAAGCTGGCCTTGTGCTCAGAATGTGGATCGCTGTGGCAGAGGCAGTGGGTCGAGTCCGGTCAAGCTATGCTGTAGTTCCAGAAAGTTGGAATATGGTTTCAGGGTAGGATACCTTATAATTTACCATACAGGGCTTAGGATAATCATATTCCAACTTTCTGGCTTCTACTGTAAGGTGAACAGACTGCACCTACGACCTGTTGAAGCACGGACTCAACGGCAAGAGATTGAACATGTTTGGCATCCTTTTTTCGTTCCACTGTAGGTCTACGGGTTTGGATGGTCTTGGCAGCTGTCAAGCTGCATGCTGCACGGGCCTTGAATTAGTAGAAAACCTGCATACAAGCGACGACAGATCTTCAATGGTCTTTACATATGCCATGAAGTCTTTCGCGCTTGGGGCCACTTAGCAGCTCCAATCGAGTGACAAGCTTTCACTGGGTGTCATGTGAGGGCGTGGAAGCAACCCATCACAACGCCGACGAAACTTGCCGAAATGTATGTATCATGCAGATGCCAGTAGGTAGCATCCGCAGAGGCGGACATGCAGGCGGGTATGTTTTGACAATTGTGCGCTTTATGCGGCTGGGCCATGACATCTTGCTACACAAACCACACATACACACCTGCAGTCCATGCTGAGGGGCTGACCACGCAGCACTAAACCACACGGCTCAAATGTGTTTGACTGACAAAGCCTTCGAAAGCGCCTACCTGTGCAGGCCGCAGCGTGCCAGAGTCTTCAGGACGATTCGTGCTGGTGTAGTTCAGAGCTTCACAAAGGGTAAGGACGATTAGTATAGTATAATGTATAAGTAACTACAAACAAACTATAGGTGCAATGGATTTTAAGCGGAGCCTCCGACACGTCAACTAGACGAAGAAGCTAAAGGGCTCCAGGCTCAGAGGAAGCTTCTCTGCAGACTCCGCGGGGTGGATCTTGAATGCGCGAGCACTCTTCCTGGTGGGAACAGTCTGCTGCCACAAGGCTTTTGCCAAGGCAGCAAGGGCGACTGAGTCATCCATCTGCACAAAAGCGTAGCCCTTGCACTTTGCTGGGCTTGTCTTGGGCATCTCCAGGACAAAGTCGTGGGTCGTTTGGGTGCTGAGATAGACGCGAAGTTCCAGCTCTGTGCAGCGTGCAGGGACGTTGCGGATCATCATCTTCGTGGAGGAGAGCCATTCCATGCTGTCCGGGTGCAGGCCGAACTCCTCCGACCCTTAGGATCGCAGGGATGATGAGCCCTTCTTAGACCCAAGGTCTAGCCACAACCTCCCGCAACGTCCCCATGCCACCCTGCAACAGTCTGTCGCCAACCTGCAGGGCAGCAAACTGGAGGCAAGCACCTTCAAGATCAGCCGAAAGCCTTTGCTTCCATCTGTCTAGGTTGCGTCCAAGTTGCAGAAGCCGCACTTCTGAGTGAACTTCTGAGGTTGATGGGCACTCACCTTCCATGTCAAGACTTGAAGTTTTGTGATGCATGACCACCACTGCCGCTACTGTTGCTTATACTCTTTCAGGAACTACCCATATTGTTGTTGAAGAACCAGAAGCAGAACAAAGCTCCCAGAAACTCTGAATGCCTAAATCCTAAACTGCCGAAAACCCCTTCCGCCTCTAAAGGCTTTAAACCCCAAATACAGCTCTAAACCCTAGCCAGACTCTAAAGCCCGAACCCTGAACCGACCTCCAAAGCCTTGAGAGAAGCAGGAAGCCCTTTTTTTCATCAGGGCAATCGCCTGAATACATGGACGGAGCCGTAAACCCTAAAACCTTTTTGCACAGGCTTGTGTGAATCCCGCCTGGATGTGTCGCACCCCCAACTCCAAACCCCAAACCCTCGGAGTGCAAGGGTTTAGATCGGCCTCGGAGATTTAGGGCTTGGCATGCTCCCAAACTGCGAAGGTGGATGGAACGAACCCTGGGCTCTTGACCGAAACTGTACAAACCTCAAAACCACAAGCCTGAATCCCGATGACTCATGTTGGGTACGAAATCAAGCCCTAAAACCTAACCCCTCAACCCTAAACTAAATCGACCTCCAAAGATTTGAGAAGCCGGAGCTGCAGGCTCAAGGTCTGCATGTGCTCCAGTCCTCCCAATCACTCGTCCAAGGCTTCTTGCTGTCGGGGGTGTTTGGAGGTTTCAGCAGGTTTCATAAAGTTTGAAATATCATAGGTTTGATAATAATTCTAAGCACACCGTTTCATAAAGCTTTTATGGTTTTGATAATAGTAATTCTATGTACGCACTGGGTTTTTGGAGGATCGGAGCCCCTGGCTTTGACAGTCCCAGGGTCTGGTAAGGTGCGGGGCTTCGAGTTTTCACGGCTTTGTGGGCTTGTGGCGAAGACAACTCAAGGTTTATCATCGACCTTGTACGGCTGAAAACTTAGGATGTAGCGCTGAGCTGCCCTTGTTGTTGTTGCCGCTGCGGGTGTCTGGTTGTTAGTTGCTGGCTGATAGCTCATGGTTGTTGGCTGTGGTCGTGGTTAGTGTTTTTGGTGTTGCTGTGGTGGTGGCGGTGGCGCTGCTGCTTTGGCTACGGTGGTGGTGGTTCTGTTGATGGACAAAATCCTGCACTACCCATTATAAGGAAGATGCCATAATTCCCCTAGTTTAGAGTCCTTAGGGTCATGCAGGATTTTGTCCATCAGCAGTAGGAGGCCAGGTTTAGTAGGGATAGGGTTCCCATAATAGGGTTCATATTAAGGAATCCCTACCCCAAGAATCTTAAACCCCCCTTGTTATACGGATAGCCCCGAATCCATTCGCCCTTGATGGTTTCGGACCCAAGGCTTTAAGCCTCGGGCCTCGGGTGCAGCAAGAAGGCTGTTATATAGGGGCCGCCTTAGCCCTTAGTAGTTAGAAGAGGCTTTTGGGGCCCACTATACTATAACTATAGCTAGCAAGGAACCCCCCAAAATAGTACTGCAAATAATTTAGGTTTAGGGTTTAGGGTTTAGGGTTTAAGCCCCCACAGTAAACAAAATTCCCCTTTTTGATGCCATTCGAGGCAGACTCGGAGCCGAGGGCGTAGAGCCAGATCTCGGTCCCCAGAGAGCCCAAGGGGCCCCTTAATTAAGGAATATGGCTTAAATTATATAGGGCTTCATATTATGGATGAAGCTATATTCCTTAATTAAGGGGTATTGGGCTCTCTGGGTCGATATGGCGAACCAGAAGCTTGAGCAGTGCCCAGCACACGAAACGCGTCGCTGCTGACGCTCGCACTACAGACCACATTCGCTTGGCTTGAGAACTTAAGAGCGCGCCCCACAGCCCATGTTACTTTCTGGTTTTGTTTGGGGAGTCTTCCTACTCTCGTTTGGGATTGCATGGTTCCGGTTGGAGCACACTCGGAACATTCCCCCATCCGACCCTCATCATCCTAAAGGATCGGAATCCTGAGTCCACGTGGCTTGTTCTGTCGCTCTCCCTGCAGTGAAAGGTGCCCACGGTGCCGAGTCGAGTACAAGGGCCAGCGGCTTTCGAGGTTTCTGATCCACCCAAACAGTACCAGTACCACTTACCTTAACCTTGAATAACCTACCTTTTTGGGTTCCCTATTATGATTTCCTTATATAAGTTCTGAAAAAGGTGGGTTCTTCAGGGTTAAGGTAAGACTTAGGCTCTCCCCAGAAGGCAAGCCAGGCTTCCACACTCCCCTCAGTACATCCCAGAACGCTCGACGCTAATCCCTGAGTAGAGGCCATACTTACCCAGAGACTCCAAAACCCCTTAATTAAGGATTATACCATAAATTATAGTAGGATCCTTAATATGATTTAAGGAATATTCCTTAATTAAGGGATATTGGAGTCTCTGGGTAGTTAACCCTTGGATGCAAGGAAAGTGGCCTGGAGGTGGGCGGACAGCTCCGAGATGTGACCAGGATGGAAGCATCATTAGCTGTGCGTCCTTGTGAGCTTCTTCGAGGTGTTGAGGGTTTGGGAGTCTCATTCAGAGTTTAAGTTTACTGTTGATTGTCTGAGGCTTCGGGGATTTAAACTTAAACTTTGGGGAGTACTTTCGGCAGACTGTAGGGTCCGTGCCAGGAAGGGGTGCCAAGAGGGCAACACCAGCGAGGCATCTTGCTGGTGGCGACGGTGGCAGCAGAAGCAGCACCGACAGTCGAAGCAAACGCATACAAACGTAGTAACAGGCGTTGTCCTTGTAGCCGTCGTCGTCGCAGTAGCAGTTGCAGCAGCAGAAGCAGCAGTGCTAGTGCGTAGTAGTAGTAGTAGTAGTAGTAGTAGCAGCAGCAGCAGTAGTAGTAGTATCAGTATTATCAGTAGTTGTGGTAGTAGTGGTAGTAGTAGTAGTAATAGTAGTAGTAGTCGTGGTGGTGCTAGTAGTAGTAGCAGTAGTAGCAGAAGTAGTGGCAGTAGCACTAGCAGTAGTAGTAGTAGTAGCAGCAGCAACAGGAGTAGTAGTAGTAGTAGTAGTAGTAGTCGTCGTGGTGGTAGTCGTGGTGGTAGTAATAGTAGCAGTAGTAGCAGAAGTAGTGGCAGTAGCACTAGCAGTAGTAGTAGTAGTAGCAGCAGCAACAGGAGTAGTAGTAGTAGTAGTAGTAGTAGTAGTAGTCGTGGTGGTAGTCGTGGTGGTAGTAATAGTAGTAGTAGTAGCAGAAGTAGTGGCAGTAGCACTAGCAGTAGCAGTAGTAGTAGTAGTAGTAGTAGTAGTAGTAGTAGTAGTAGTAGTAGTAGTAGTAGTAGTAGTAGTAGTAGGAGCAGCAGCAGTAGTCTTAGGAGGAGTAGATGAAGGACAAGGAGTAAGAGGAGGAGTATGTAATGGTGTGGCAGGGGTAGGGGTAGAGGCAGTGGTACAGGTATTTGTAGCGGTAGTGAAACCATTGATGGTCCTACCACTTCGGTTGTTATAAGTGTTGCTTTTCTTCTCGTTGCGATTTGTGCTCTCATTCTTACCATCATAAGTAGTAGTCACTAGTCACCGTAGGTGTCGTCGAATGTCGTCGACGACATCGCCCGTCGTAGTGTAAATACTTATCTTCACTTCGTGTTCACGATTAAACCATAGCTATAGTACGGAACCCACGAAATAGAATAGGTAATTATTTAGGCCCCTCTAGTACGGTACTAGGTTGTTGACTACAGGACTACAAAGCGAAGACCTAGAGTGAAACAGCCTCCAATTCCTACATAAAGCATTTTGCAGCCACCCGAGAGAAACAGCTCGTGACCAAGCAGCAGTCATGCTCATTCCCAGGGTCATGATTATCACCTCCAGTGGTCCTTGCAATGCGGCTCTGGGATTCGCTTCGAACTCAGGCTTTGGACTGTTGGCAGTCTTTGCCATTACAACTTCCGGTTTTTGATGCGCAGACTTGCTGCGTATTACGGCGGGTTCCTGTCAGTATTAGCATGACTGTCCTGTGCAATGGCTTCGGCGTTGACTTTCTCTGACTGTAGCGACATATAGCCACTGACAACTACAGGGGCATACTGTAGTAGCGCTTGATGTTCTTGCTGAATTCCGTGAGCTGTCTTGCCAACACCTTCTCCTGATGCCTTTGCTGCTGGTACTGCCGATGACACAGTAGTCATGAGACTTCTTGTAACAAACATGATTGCTGTTGTTCAATACTGCAACGATGACCTAGGGTGACGAGTTCAAGGTTGAATACAATGAGGAAATCGGTTGTTAAGACTGCTTTGTGCGCTTGCTGTCGCGCGGATCGCCATGAAATCATGTCCATAAAAATGCAGCTGCTGGTGTTGTTTGCAAGGTGTGGCAACCAATGTGATCCTTATTATAAGGACCCCAAAATACGTACCCCTGATTTTCGGAAACTCCCATACTCGCCGTAGTCGGATACAAGCTAAGGCAGCCAAGGTCATGAAAGTCCCAAGGTCATGAAAGTCGAGGCACCAAAGGAAGCGAGGACGATGCCGCAAGACGCGCAAGAACCCACCCGATCTTCTGAGGCTGAAAACTGTGGCGACCATGTCAGGGTTTGCACAAGTTGCAGCTAGTCCTCGATGCTCTATTTCCCAACGCGTGGAGTTATTGTGCGCGACTATTCCTTAGGACTCGAATGTTAGCTGATGTTCATGGTATACCATCAAGAAGCTGTTCTAGTTCTTAGCAGGGTAGGTCCAGGGCTCACGCAAACGAGGGTCTGGACCGTTTTCGGGTTGGGTGTTTCATGTCAGCAGTCTCCAAGTATGTGAAGTTGACACAAATAAGGGAACCATGTTAGCCAAATTTATTTACGGTAGATCCCGATTGTGGCAACTTAACACCTCCCTAGCAACTGGGATCCCCAGCAGGCGCGGACCTTCGAACTATTGGTATTGGGACATTTTATGAGTAACGTGAGCTAGGATACCCAGTAACCTAAGAATAAAAAAGCCTCTCTTTTTGGTATTGGGTATATTGGGTAACTTTATAAGGAACCAGGACTACAAAAAGGGAATAAGGGTACTACTGGGCATCCTAGTGAGACTACAAAAAGGAAAAAAGGGCCCACTGCGAGACCGAGACAAGAACCCAGGAAGACTCGAGTCTCCATTCTGTTGATGGACAAAATCCTGCATGACCCATTGTAAGGAATATACCATAGTTCCCATAGCTTAGGGTCCTTAAGGTCATGCAGGATTTCTATCATCAACCGTTTCAAGTGGAACTCAAGGGTTGCATGAACTTGAGGTTTAGGGCTTCATTAGGAGGAGGGCATGGGCTTTTAGAGTTTAGGGTTTCGGGGTTTAGGGTTTTAGGGTTTTGAGAGATTCGGGGACTGTTTAGTTCAGAGTCTTTTCTGAGCGCCCAAATCTCCATTGGAAACCTCGTCTTGAACATCGTCTCAGTCATCGGAAACTGTTTTGGCGGTGCTACGTCCTGACGAGCCCAAACTGAAAACTTCACCTCCAACTAACATCAACAGCAATAGCGGAGAGGCTACGATTCAAATCAAAGAGCCGCACAAACATGCCACACGCAACCGCAGCACTCTTTGTTCTTTGGATTTCTTGTGAGACGGTGAGTGCCGGGCTGCCTGTGTTTCTCCGCAGAGCCTGTGAGCATAGGCAGACCCATGCAAACAAACCCACTAGCTCGATCCCGAGATGCAACCTGCTAAAAGCAGGGCAGCCGACGAATTCAAGAGATAACCAAAAACATGTCTTGCTGGAGTAGCCCCAGCTGGACGAACCAGTGTGAGGCTTGCTTCAACCTTTCAGGTGCCGAAACGTGGCATAACCCAACCCTTAGGTCAGGTGGACACTTATGTCAGAGGATAGGAAACCGCTGAAGTATGTGGAAGTGCAAACTGCACAAGACAGCGGATTTCAAGATTTGACAGATGGACGCAGGGGAAGGCATGAACCTGCTTGTCAACGGCGGCGTTTTCGCTTCGCCTGAATCACATCATTGCTTGTACTTAAACAAGAGATGCGCTGCGACGCATCTGTTGCTTCTGTGTAGCCCCCGGATGCTGAGAGCTGCAGTTTCCAAGTCGGCGCATGATGAGCCGTACGAACGCTCACCACATCTACAGCTCGAGCATCCAGCTGCTGGAGTAACATAGAGCGTGCTGAGTGCTGCTGCTCTGGCGTTTGCACGGCTGTCCGGGAAAACCTGCACCGTTGCATGAAGTCTAAGGCAAAGCCAAGTGTTAGACGTAAATGACCGGGGTTCGCAGGCAGCTGAATGGCAGCAGGGACAAAAAGCAGGAGACGACGACGGGCCAGAGCGGGAGAAGCATGGAGAATCACGAAACGAATGCGACGGTGGAAAACACATACCAAGGACCAGTCTGTCAAGAAGCGATGGTGGCTGGGCTCGTCAAGCATGCCGTGATGGCCAAAGATCCGAACAGGTGCCTGAGCTGCACAGGCATTCACCACCCCAAGCTGCGCAGCTGGTGCCTGTAGCGGGCTGAGTAACATGCTGCTAGAGCGTGCTGAGGGCTGCAGCTCTGGCGATCGAACGAGTGTCCGAAATGTGGAGCTTTTAGTGGTCCTGTGAACACGGCTCAGAGTGCCGAGAGCTGCAGTTTTGTCCGAACAAGTCAGCTTGCAGCGTTGCATGGACTCAACGACAGCAGGGGCCACGCGGCTCTGCAGTAGACGAACTGCAACTGGAAAGGAACGAGCCTCGACAAGAGCAAAGTCCAAGTCGAAGGGAGCCTGCTGCAAACGGAAAACCCTAACTTTTCCTGCATTGCCGGACGAGAGCAGCTCAGAGCCACTGGTACTGGGCACAGCCGGGGCACCCGGCTTGAGTAACACAGAGCATGTTAAGAGCCGCTGCTGTGCTGCTCGCACGAGCGTCCGTTCAATCGCGGGGCCGTGAAAGAACTCCATGGCAAAGCCAAGTGTTGAACGACCGGTTCCTGCAGGCAGGTGAAGGGTAGCGGGGAAACACGACCGGAGCAGATGGCGTGCCAGGGCAGAGAAAGTCTGGAATAGTTCTGCCAGCATTGCGTGCCGAATGCGCCGCTTGTGTGTATGCACAGAGAGCCAATCCGGTGAGTGATTTGTTCTGTGGCTCGCCTCTCGACGGAGCGGGTCATCAAGCATGCCGTGATGGCCAAAGATCCGAACAAGTGCCTGAGCTGCACAGGCATTCACCACCCCAACGTGCACAGCTGGTGCCTGTAGCGGGCTGAGTAACATGCTGGCAGAGTGTGCTGACGGCTGCAGCTCTGGCGATCGAACGAGTGTCCGAAATGTGGAGCTTTTAGTGGGCCTGTGAACACGGCTCGGAGTGCCGAGAGCTGCAGTTTTGTCCGAGCAAGTCAGTTTGGAGCTCTGCATGGACTCAACAACAGCAGGGGCCATGCGGCTCTGCAGTAGATGCAACGCAGCGGGAAAGGAACGGGCCTCGACAAGAGCAAAGTCCAAGTCGAGGGGAGGCTCCTGCAAACGGATCACCCTAGCTTTTCCTGCATTGCCGGTCGAGAGCAGCTCAGCGCCACTGGCACTGGGCACAGCTGGTGCATCCAGCTTCAGTTCAGCTGCAGGCCGCAGAAACTTGGAGTCTACAGCAGACTCTGCACTGGAGGCCATCGCCAAATTGCGTTTTGCAGCCCAAAACGTACGCCGGAAGACGGGCTCGAGGGCATCAGTCACATGGACAGTCCCATTACTACGATAATCAAGATTATTAGTACTACTATTTCTATTGGTACTATAAATATTATTATCCACCAGCCTCTCTCGAAGCCCGATGGACAGAGTTGATGCTGCAGCCCACGAAGGGATGGGTTGAAGCCCCACCCGTATGCTGACCGAAGGAACGACAAGAAAGTCCAAAATCTCAAGGTGGCTTTGGAAAGGAAGCACGGCGGGTGCAGGAGACACGGTTTGTTGAAGCTCCTGCTGAGGCTTCTGCTGAGGCTTTGGCTTTCGCTGCGCTGGGCACGTAAATCGCATGCTGAGCTTGGAGTCGAGGATTTGTTGGATGATTCCGGGGAGGAAGCCCCTCAGTCTTTCATTTGCAACAGCACAAGCAGCCGTTTGATGCCCTCGCTGCACGCACACACACACACACACACATCTTGGGATCCGAGCTCTGCAAGCTGCTGGTTTCCCACCACGGCCGCCCTGCAAATGAGCTCGCTGTCCTTGACTGAGCGTGTCATTTCAGAACGTATACCTTGGGTATACGTTTTCGGGAATCGCACGGCTACCGCCTCGGAAACCTAAACCTTGCCTAACCATGCCTAACTGAACTGTTGGAGAACTGTTCCTGACCTGCCTGACATGTCCTGAATCACGATGGCATCGCCTTCGCACATCAGTTGATACTGTTTTGCAATTACTTCCATAGAAATTACATTGAGTTACGACGTTTTGGGAGCCACCCAATCAACGTCGAGTTTCCTGATTTGGGCAGCTAGCTTCATCGGCCTCTGCCCCAGTTGCAACCACATCGGCCTGTGCCCCAGGCACTGGGCCTGGAGCCGAAGACTCGCCTTGGTCCGGATACTCGTCTTCTTGAGTTTTCTATACCCCCTTAGAACCATAATAAAAACAGCATGCGCATGCGTAATATTCTACTTAAGTTACCACAAAAAGGGGGTCTATAGCAAATAAGATGGCTTCCTCGATCTTCCTCGTAACCAGTCTTCTTACCTTTGGTTAGTAGGGAATGGAGGAATGGGGTGCAATTATAACTACCATTACTACCATTCTTCCATTCGCTACTAACCAAAGGTAAGGTTTTCTGTACCCCCCTTTGAACCATAGTACAAATAATGTGCTTAATCTTCTCTTGGGTGTCTTATATGAACAAAAACAAAAATGATTCCTAAGGAGACTATAGTTTTCCGGCCTCCAACCCTCTGGATCCAAACCCATCCGAGTTTCCAACCAACTCGTTGAGGACGCCTTTATTTGCCTCGCTGCTCGGCACGTCGAGGCGCTCCGCAGCAGTGCCTTGGGGGATGCGCTCGTGTTTTTTTGCCGAGCCCATGTCCTGCCCGACTGCAAGGCACGTGCACAGCACTTACGAATGCTACTATAGACTACTGCTAGAGCACAGCCAGTAGCAGACAGCGAACAACCAGCGCCGAGTCCTTGTCATTGTTCTCACCCTCTTCTTGCGAGTCACGCGCACGCGCAGGCGCTGTGCTCATGAAGTCTACACTGTACTACACTGTATACAACCTCTGGCGGCTCTTCCTCGTCAGCCCCTGGTTTTTCGCAGCTGGCTTCATGTGCAGAGATTTCGGAGTACTCCTCCTCCGAGTCTTCGTCGTCGGCGTCCTCGCCCTCCAAACCCTCAGGCCCAGAGTCATCGGAGTCATTCCTAGGATGCCCACTGAGATAGGAATAAAACGAGCTCCCTTTTTTGGTATTGGTTAACTTTATAAGGAACCTAGGACTACAAAAAGGGAATGAGGGTACTACTGGGCATCCTAGATTCTCTTCGTTGTGGATGCCGTGGTTTGCCCCTGTGCTCAGCGATGCATCGACATGCTCCTCAGCGGAACCTTCCGAGGAGTATTCGTATGAGTACTCGGACGACTCGTCTTCCTCGTCGCTCATCTTGGAACCCTCCGGACACCTGTCGTCAACATGCGGCAGCAAAGCACCCGACAGTACCGCTGCGGCTTCCAAGAGTGCATTCACAACCTTATAACATGGAACCCAACAGCCCTCGACGAAGACAACAAGCTGCGAATTTTCGGTCCCCCCAAGATCGTCGGCACTTTGTAAACAGGATGCTAAAACGAACACAAAAGTCGAACACAAATTTAGAGAACTACCCACATGGAAACCTCTAAAGCCCACCACCTTGTACACCTATCGCAAAATACCACGATGTTGAGAAACATATGCGACCCTTCCAAGATTAGAGTGATGAGGTTTTGGGTTGATTTAGATGTAATAAATATCTTTCCGCATACCGTCTGGTATGCACTGTGGGGATCTAACTCTGAGAGTTGGGAGCATCAGAATATAGTGCTCATTCCCGCGCGTGCGAGAAAAGCGTTCCGCGTAGGTTCCTTGGGGAAAGCATTAAGGCATGGCATTACCCATAGACTCCATAGTAGTTCCTTTTTGTGGCTCATATTTAGAATCCCATAAGGTATAAGCCCCAAAAGGAACCACGGCGTGTGCTGTTGGTCTCCTGCTATTGTGCTGGGGTCCCCTGAGGTCTCCTGGGGTTCTCCTGGTGGTCTTCCGGTTGTTGCTTTCTGATCTCCTGGTGGTCTCCTAGTTGTCTCTTGGTTGTCGTAGTCGTGGTGGTAGTGGTCGTCCTGCTATTTCACTATTGGGGATCTGTGCTGGGAACTCTTTAAAAGAATGTTCAGGAGCGCTACGGAGGAGTATTGGAGCTTGTTCCCGATACTTATGTAGGAACTGATGAAGAAACCCTGGCCCTATAACCCCCAAATATTAGGGTTCATATAAGGCAATATAGGGGAGCGCCAAGTTTTCTTAAGCAGGTTCCTACATTGCCGAAAACATGCGACAGCCGGAGCTCTGAGCACCCAGCGGAAGCTCCTCCACAACGACGTGCGCGCAAGCAGTCGCGATGCTTCCAAAATCATAACTAGGAACCCTCCCTTCTAGACGCCAAAAACTTTAACCCTAAACCGCCTCCCTGTATTTTAGGCCTGTCTGCCAATATAGCCTTGGGGTGTTCCAGCTTAGTGCTGCGAGCAGCAAGACCGAGAGCGATTTGTCATTTGTAGTCCTACTACGAACATGCTGGGTCATGAGCAGCTTCTCACTTCTAACTCCCATCATCGCTTGAGCACCTGCGGATCGCGGGCAACGAAGTTGGGATGTGCGAAGGAGTGCAACGGAAACTGACAACAGGCTCGCCGATAACGTGCCAAGCCTGGGCTGGAAGCATTAGAAATTACGTTCACATATCTGATGAGGAAGACCTGCATGATGCTGAAAAGTTTAGATTTTAGATGGGGACACTGTTCATTGCATGGCGCCTGCGACTCACTGCCGGGCTTGGGCCCCATGACGTCATCACTCAGTGACAATTTACTAGAATCAGTACAGGCCCTGCATGGTTTCTCTGAGGAACAATCCAACTGCTCGTCTGATGCACCCCTTCGAGAGACAATCGCCCAGCCAGGCGAGTCCTGCATCCCTGATGTTTGCAGAGGAGCCATCCGGAGAGAGGTATGAGCTACCTATAGTCTCCATTGTAGTTCCTTTTTTGTGGGTACCTTATAGGATCCTAACTATATATTTGGTTAAACCAAAAAAAAGAACTACAATGGAGACTATAGCTAGGGACTTAGGCATCATAGGAGTTGAGGGCTGGTCGGCCACCGTCTCCAGGCGCGCTCTTTTTGATCTGTCCACACCAGCAGAACCTTTGGAATCTGGCATGCTGCTGTTGCCAGCAGGATTCCTCACACAAGCTCTTCCAACCAAGAACATGATAGCGACATGGCAGCATACGAATTCATGATGAAAACGGCAAAACTAGCAAGCCCGCATCGCTCGTGACTGGCGCTGTGCTGTTTGACAAAGGTTTACCAAAACTTGCAAGCACCGACCGCCTTCCGGAATATAGCACCCTCAAGAATGGTTAGAAGAGGGCTTTGGGGAGTATATTATAGCAAATGATACTGAGTAGCCATGCGGAACAATCTAGGTAATTAGATATATAGATCCTCTTTCCGACAGACAAACCATCCACAGGCGCTCAGATGGATGGTCGCGGGCTCTTCGAGGCAGCACGCCCTTCTCAAACAGCTCTGCATTTCAGGCTTGGGCTTAGGATGTAGGCGTCAGTTAGTGTTTAACGAAGCGCTTGGGATGGTTTAGAGTTTCTGTCTATCTTATTTAGTTGCGGCTTGGGCTCTTTCTCGGTTTTGAATCAATACTGAATACTGGCTCGAGATTTCGGGGTTGTCGGTCCAAGGGGCTATACTATTCTTACTGCTGAGTCTTGCTAGCACGAAAACGGCTACTACGGGTGTACTGCTTGCAGAGTTTGGCTTCGAGGGTTCCATGTTCAGCGGGCAGTTTGGGGTTGGAGGTTTAAGGCCAACGAGCCTTGAGGTCTAGGGGCTTCGGGGTTAGCTAGCGCAGTCGATTTTACACCTACCTGCCGGGTATTCTGAGGAGCTAATTACAGCTTAACCTTTGGGAGCATGTTGGGATTATATAGGGGTCCCAAGAAGGTTAAAGGTCACCTAGTCTAAAGCTTTTAAAAATCGTCTGAGTGTTGGGTGCCCTGTGGTTAAAGTCTCGGGCTTGGCAGTGTTGGGTGCTGGTCTGCTCGGGAGGCTCTGAAGCTCCCTGGATTCCAAAAACCTGAAGTGTTCCCATCAATCGGTTGAGGGTTCAGGGTTTAGGGACGAAAACATTTATTTAGAGTTTTACATCTTGAATACCTGAACATCACAGCTAGTACATAATTAAAGCCGAAGCACCCAGTCCAAATGCGAAAGCATGAACTCCAATCGGCGACAGGCCTCCGGTGCTGTGTCTGCTGCTGGGCCTCTCGGATAGTGGCGGCACGACTCGGGGTCGCGCTCGAGCTTGGCAGAGAGGGTCTTCCTGAACGCAGGGCTTGGGTGACTCCTGTACGAGCATCTGATCATCTGCAGCGGTTTTTTGACAATCGCACTCGGACAAAGCCTGGCAAGGTCCGCAGCGATGCTATCGCTGCAGCGGTTTAGGGTTTAGGGGCAGTGAGGCATGGCGGCATGACGTGACACCAAACCAGGCTTACAATCGCCCCAAGCAGTACACTCAACTCTCCCGCTCCAGCAAGAAGGAGCGCAACAAGCCACCTATCACTGCAGCCACCGCCACCCTCGAAAGCATATTTAGGGACAAGAGAGCGGTAGACACCGCCACCAGCAACGGCACTAGTAGCACTAGCAGCAGGGGTAGCACCACCTCCACAACCACAATTACTATTGCTGGTGCCGCTACTACTACTACTACTACTACTACTACTACTACTACTACTACTAATTTTTATTGTTATTATTATTACTACTACTACTACTACCACCACTACTACGACGACTACTGGGTCGACAACTGCTGCGACTAGTCAGCATCATCATCGTCATCGCCATCACGGTTCTAGCCATGACCATGATCATGGTCAGGCACACGATATACCCACGCCATCACCTGTGCTACGACAACTGCTTTCACAACCTGTCCAGTGATTGCTACTTGCTACTAACGGCTAGGGCTGCTTGCTACAGCTTCCTCAATGCCATTGCTGCACACAGGAAACTAGCTGACTCTAACTGCTGCAGTCAGCCGTCCTTACTACAGCGTAGCTCTGAATATCTTATATACTTGCCGCACCGTCAATAATACATAAACTTACACAAGCTACATACCAGACATGTTGATGTACCGCTGTTATGCTCCCCATGAAAGCTACTCAGAACATGGCTATATCACCAAGGCGAAAAGGCCAAGACCACTACCACTATCCTGAAACAATCACAGCAGCCACTGCCTCTGATTCTACCTCGATGACGACAACGAATACGACAGGACTTTTCATCACCATGTCTACACTGTCTGCGATTGTTCTGGCTATGTAAGAACTGGCGGCCATGGAAAATCTGAATGCTGCCGTAGTCTTGAGTTCGGTATTTGCCGTCTGGTGTTACTTGTAGATACTGATGTCACTTCTGCCACTACGACGACCACCGCTCCTGCCGCTAAGGCTATCACTACTCCAGTTCTGCTGCTATTGCGGCCACAGCAACGACGGCGGCAGGCAATTATGTGCAATCACAGCATGGACATAACAATGTCAACACAGATTGTGTTGGGTTAATGCACTGGAACACGGTAGCTGCCCAAGACAAACCCGAACCAAACCTACAAAAAAGTCAACCCTTACTTCTAACTCTCAGCTCGAAGTCCCCTAAACCACTAAACCCAAGAAACCCTCAAACCATAAGGATTTAGGGTTTAGGGCAAGCCTGGTCGAAGGCTTGCTCCAACGTGAGCTCTGCCTGAAGCAAGCTTCAGTTACGGTTTCTTGAGGGGCTTCAGGTCCAGGGCTTCAGGTTCAGGACTTTAGGGTTTAGGGTTTAGGGTTTAGGGTTGTAGAGTTTAGGGTTTAGGGTTGTAGAGTTTGCGGCATGGCTCAGGGCTCAAGGTTTAGGGCTTGAGCGTTTAGCGGTTTAGCGTTGAAGACCCTCAAGCTCGGCCGATTCAGGCAATGCCTCGACACTCTGGAGGGAAGAGATGGTGAGGGTTTAGGAGGAGTTTCGGACTTCAGTTCGAGTCTTGCTTTTGGAACCAGCTCCCGCATATTGCCAAGACCTGATCCGCCTTTTCATCCCCATGCCAACCTCCAAACTCTCAACCTCATCTCAGATCCCAATGCCAACAGCAAAATTAAGTAGAACCCCTAGGCCCTAACCCCGAAAACCACACAGCCCCCAAACCCCAAACTGAACCCCCTAAACCGCATGACAAACCAAATTAAAAAAGGGAAGCTCGAAACCCTACCTCCCTAAACCCCTCATCACTATGCCACAAACCATTAAGCAAGCCTCCCAACAAAAGCCCAAACACGAAAACTTTAATTATAGTAGTCCTTACACTGACCCCTAAAGTAACCCTTACAGTACTCTAGACTCTCTCTCTCTCTCTCTCTATCTCTCTTTCGCTCTCCCAGGCACTCGATGCATCAAGCCTGATGGAGTACTTTCGACTCTGAAGCTTAAATCACACCCGGAAAGGGATCTGAACCATAGCAGCCGTTGTGCAACCTCAACCCACCCATCAAAACAACAACAAACAGAAACTGTCTGAATTCTAGAACTCTCCCAAACAGCAAAAGCAAGGACTCCTAACCCTTTTCCACAGGCTTGATTTGTGCTCGCCCGGCCAGAATCTTAGGACCCTCAACCCTAAACCCCCCTAACCCCCACCCCCCTTACCCGAAAGGGAGCCCCTGGCCTTGTCGGGGCCTGGCGCCTTCGTTTGCAGCGCCGAGGCCGAGCGTGGCCGCGGGGAGCGGTGGACGAGGCGCAGCTGCGAGGAAGTCACCTTGGGTTTAACGGGTCAGGGATTTGAGGTTTAGGGGTTTAGGGTTTTTAGGGTTTTAGAGTTTAGGGTTTCGGGATTTGGTTTAGGGGTTTAAGGTTTGTGGGGTTTTGGAGTTTAGGGTTCTCGAGTTTAAGGTTTGGGGTTTTAGGGCTTATGGGCTAGGGATCTATGCCGCCAAGCGAGGTACACTTTGGAAGAAGCTTTGCCACTGTTAATGGGTTTATGGTTCAGGGTGGTTTTCAAAAGGTTTCGGGCGTTACTATGCAATCTTTTTGCATGCTGGTATGTGCGAAGACGTCACCGGCGCTGAGGCACTTCTTTGTCTACAAATCATAATCCGGTATCTTTGTGCTTGGTGTGTCTGTGTGTGCGCGTGTGTGTTAGCTAGGTCCTTGATGCTCTGTTATATAAGGGTCTCTGCTGAGAATTCCGGAAGGACTAACAATCATAAAGATCTGTATACACCGGCTTTCTTTTGGGTCAAGAGAGTGTAGGGCTGTCGCTGTTTTTATGTTGTTTGGGTTTGGAGGAACGCCCAAACCCTAAACGGTAGAACAAGCCTTCGTAATCAAGGAGGGACCTCGGATTCCCTTCTGATGGCCGCTAGTATTGCTCTGTGAGGGGCAGAGTCGGTATCAGGGTCAGGTAGCTAAGAACAATACTAATGTAGGAACCTGATTGAGAAACCCTTGGCCTATAACCCCAAAATAGTAGGGTTCATATAAGGAACCCTAATAAAGGCCCAAGGTTTCTTAAGCTGGTTCTTACATTCTAATCTCCCAAAAATTTAGGCTTCTGGGTTGAGGGCTGGGTTTTAAGTAGTTCCAGCAGGGTTAACGGCGCTAGGGGTATCACGGGTTTAAGAGCGGGCATTTAGTGCTCACAGGTTGTGGGGTTCTGGGGTTCTAGGTTAAGAGCCCCGGGCGTGAACAACGATTTTGCTTTTTGAAGGTTGACACGTTGAGCTGCTGGGAATTGCAAGGGCGACCCTCCAAAAAGCTCGCCGCTTTCTCTGCAGGAGTGGGTTTGGAGATTCAGGAATTCATGCATACGCTTAATGTAGGGGCCTTAATAATTAGACCCCCCCATGAAGGCCCATACGTTTCACTTAGGTCGACAACAGCCCTTCCAGCCGGCTGAACCTTGAACAATACCTGGCATCGTGCTTAGGAGGACATAGATTCACGCTCGTTCACGTGCAGCCGTGAATTCTCGAAAATTCAATGCCTCGACACATAACCCTTTGATGTACATTCTATCCCTTGACTGGTTATGTTAACGGACTAATCGGAAAATCACTTCAACAAAAATTAAGGCACCGTAAACACGTAAGGGTTATATAAAGCATACTCTAACTTCAAAGACCATAGACATAGACCTTGGCAGTATAACCCATCAGCCCCAAAGCCCAATCTTGCACGCTACATCAACACCCCAAACCCCGACTCGCCCTCTAACCCCAATGCCGGCACCCTCGTCTAAGCTCTGCGTAAGGTGCTGTCGCCAGGTCATCCACCTCCGGCTCCTTCCAAGCTCCAAAAGGGTACTGTTTCACGATTTAGGGGTTTTCGTGTGTAATTAGGTCTGATAAAGTTGGGATTGAACTACTTCAAGGACTGGTGATTAGTGCTCAAGTGGGTCAGGTGTGCAAACGTCCGTAGGGTTTGGGATTTTTCCACCAGCGCAGCTGGCAGCCGCACAGCAGGGTTTGGGTTTGGGGTCTAGTAAGTTTAGGGGCTTTAGGGTAGCGCCGCGCTCCGCCTCCCGTAATCAGACTTCACGCCCGTAAACCACCCAACCGTCAATGCCCCCCACCAACGCAACTGAAACCCCCCTAACCCGCCGTAAAACATCCATCCATACAAGGGGGCAGGTCTCAATAGTTCCGGACTCGAAAACACGCAATGCCAAAGGCCCTCCTTGAAAACTAAATACCCAACCTTTTGAACACTCCGCATTAGGATGTCCATTTATACATATCTTGTAAAGCCTTCTTCTGATCCTAAAAACCCTCAAACAGAAATCTTTCAGTATTCTCAGAAACAGACTCTTGCCCTTTTGCCGTATAATAACCCTTAATAAAACCCTTATATATAAAGTCCTGAAAACCCTATAAAGTCGTAGAAAACCTTGGCTTTCAAGGGACCAGGTAGAGCTTGGGGCGGCCTCTGGGCTGGGAGAGCGAGGCGACTGACCAGGGCTCGGAGTGACCGCCTTGATCACCTCGGTGCTTTGGGGGCTCATATAGGGGCCTTAATGGTTAGAATAGGGTTTCGGGGCCCATTATAGTATAATTACATTAAGGAACCCCGCAAAATGACATTAGTCATTATGGATCCTACTATACTTAAAGTATATTCCTTAATTAAGGGGGTTTGGAGGCTCTGGGTTTGGGGGTTACCTGAGGACTCCAGAACCACTCCGAGGCTCCGCAGCAAGGCTTGGTGCCCCGAGCCGGGATTTGGGCTTAGGGTTTGGAGTTGGGGTTCCTTTAAAGGGATCTATAGCGCTCCCTTTAGAGGGATCTATATACAAGGGATCCATTAGGGGTTTAGGGTGTAGGTAAGGTTTAGGGTTTAGTTAGGGTTCAAGGGCTTTGGGGTTTTAGGGTTTAGGGCTTTATAGGGTTTAAACGTCTTTGAGGCTTAGGGTTGAAGGCTTTGGGCTTCCGACTCACGCACTCGCACGGTTAAGGCTTTAGGGTTTAAAGCATTTGGGGGGGCCGGCACTCGCCATCTGCGAGGCTCCTTAGAAACCACAAACCCTCAACTACCAAAACTTCTTATTACACACCCTGACGATGAAAGGTTATATAGGCACCCTACAAAATGCTAGGTTTTGCAAGGATAATAAGGAACCCTGGAGCATGAAGCATGACTTCCGTCAAGTTGCCAGGGCTGAACCTAAAGGTGCCGCGGCAGGTGGCAAGTACCTCGGCGCAGCGTGTCTCTTAAATTGATGGCCAAGGCGGGCTGAGGGACTGAAAGATTTTAGAGTTCATAAACGCCCGAGCTGGCGTGATCCTAATACGGCCCTAGCCGCAACCTCCTTACGACGGTTGATGATATAAGTCCTGCATTACCTTAAGGACACTAACTACTATGGGAGTTATGGTATATTCCTGATTATGGGTCATGGAGGATTTATATCTTCAACCGTACGTCCCCGGAGCCTTGTAGTAGTAGAGGCTCTTCCCATACCCTCGGACAGAAAGCTCAAACTCTGAAGTTCCGACGAGGAATTTGAAAGCCGAGTGCACCAGGCTCGACCAGGTCTGGGGCTTGGGGTGTACGGGAGTTTCCGAAAATAGGGGACCCCAATATAGTACCTAATCAGTAGTAGGATCCTTAGTAGCCTTAGTGAAAGAACCCCGACATACGGTACCCCTAATTTTCGGAAACTCCTGCTAGTAACACTGCAAGCTTCAGTGTAGCAACCAGTTACCGAAGAGTGAAGAAGAATTGCAGCGCAAGAACGTCTGCAAGTTCCATCGCTCAGGTGTCCACCCTCCAGCAAAAGTAGCATGATGTGCTTGGGCTGCCCTGTAAATCTCGCTCTGACATCGCTTGAAGACCCAACGCGTCCCCAATTTGCCCACATACTACGTGTACTTAGTATGATTCCGGTATCGCATGTAGAATGTAGAACCTTCGCTGGTGGACCGCCATGCTCGAATGTCAGTGCCATGATAGGAGGCAGGCTCTTACGATTTGCTGAAAGGGGATGGGGCTGTTACTCAGCGGTCTGCATTAAACCTGACGTTCCTGCTATGTGCATGTCAACACTAGCAGTCAGCCACCACCTCCTTCAAGACTTCGCGCTCTGACCTCTCTCTCTCTCTCTCTCTCTCTTTCCTGCCCGCAGTTGCCCTCCCGTATCCCTAAACCCTTAACCCTAAAACCTATACAAACTTACACCCCAAACCCGGAAGGTTTGCAAAGGGGCAGGTTCTGCGCACGGATCGACTGGGATCGTATAGGCTCCCCAACTCCCCAGGAGCCATGCACCGCCTTGCAGGGGTGCACATGGAAGATAGGTCTCGCTACATCAGGGCTTCCACAAATAGGGGACCCTAATATAGGACCATAAATTAATATGATCCTCATTATCAGGACCCAGAATAAGGAACACTAAATTTTCGGAAACTCCCACATAAGCATTTAGAGCTTAAGTTTAGGCTTTGGGGCTTCCTCAACGACTAGAATTATTGGGGTCTTCGGGAAGGTCATACTATCTTCGCGCAGCTTTGAAAGTGACTGATCAAGGCAGGCCTTTACATGACACCGTTCTTGAGCCCGGTCGGGGAGGGTACATGAGAGGATCACAGCACCAGCGACGAAAGCGCTGAAATCCGTGATGAGAATTGAACTTCCTGCCTTTCCAAGTCAAAAGTCTTTGTTATGAGAGCATGAAAAGAGACGGTTATCTTCGAAGAGCGTCGGCGAACTTGGTGCGCAAAGGGTGCCGGCAAACATTATTCCCACATCAAGGCTCGTGTCAGTTCTCAGACAGACTTCTTCATCTCTGTCCTCGAACACCCATCTTCAAACCCCCAAATCTTGCATCACAATTCGATGGCCCATGCAAAATCTTCGCACACCAACACGAGAGCCTCGCTGGCGCTGGCCCGACGTCGGGAGTTCTGGCGTGAACCTTCTGGTCTCACCTCAGCTTCCCGAATTCCCATCTGCAATGATCCTTTAATGCCACGTAAACCCTAAACCCTAAACCGTAGACTGCAAAGCCCTTTGCACGATTAGGCCCCTGGCCTGCACGACAACCCCGAAAGCAAACCCTGAAACGATGAACTCTCAAGCGCTAAGCAATGTTAAGGCCTACACCGGGCCAAACAGCCAAAAAGGCAAACAAAAAGCTTCCTAAACCCGGAACCCCAAACTCTCAAGTAATATCCGCTGCGCTTGAAGCTTCTCTATGCTTCTCTGCGGTTAGCGAGTAATTAAGTTGCAAGTAGAGTTCCTATAGTCCTATTCCACGCCCTCACAGGTGAGCTTTACGGTTTAGGGTTTAGGGTTCAGGGCAAAAAAGTCCGGAGGCCGCAAGCCCCAAGTCCCGCAGCCCTAGAACCAACCCGACATAGGGCTTTCCGACAACAGGGGACCCCAATATAGTACCCTGAATAGTAGGATCCTTATTATCAGGACCCCAAACCATGGTGCCCCTAAAATTCGGAAACTCCCACATTGCCTAAATTCCCTAAACCGCAGAACCGGCGTTGAAGGCCCAGCTGCTGGAGAAGGCAGACTGCACCTCCGTGCCAAAAGCTCCGGAGGAGGCTCGCCCTGACGAGCGAAGGCTCACATTTACTTGGGAAGCTTCACGAATGGCTCTATAACGGTTACAGAAAATAGAATTTGGGATTGGTTCAGATTGTGGGTTGAGGGCTTAAGATCCTTAGTCCAAAACCCTAAACTCAAAAAGACGAACTTCGTCAGCCTCAACCCTGGAAAATCTGCGTGCCGCCTGTGCAGATGCCTCTGAGCAGTCGTTCTTCGGCTCGCTCAGTGCTGCTGCGACGGCAGATCCAGCTTCCTGGGCCCGTAGGGTACGGTTCAAGATGGGGGGGGTCATTTAAACATATAGGACCGTATACGCTATAGCGGTAAGGTATGGTGTTCATAATTCAGGATCCAATCAGTTTAAGGTTAGGTTTATGTACACAAGCAACATGCAGAGTTCTGAGCATGGTCAAGGTACATCATCTTACTCAGGGTGAGATCAGCTATGATGCCTATATCACAGACCAGTCAGTTCCAAAGCAACCACGACAGGGAAGTGGTGTTGACAAGGCACAAGGAAGCTGCGGGATGGAGCCAAACTAAATGCCCTCGCACGGTGGAGTTTTCCTCAAGAATTTCGGCAGAGTAATTATCGTTCATCTCCACGCAGGGACGATAATTTTGACCGTTTGAGAATGATGGCTCCTTGTGGCGAGGGGTCCAATTGTGCAGGCGCAAACGGCCTTTGCCAGTTCTTCCAAACCAGATTCGGAGTTTGAAGCAGCGTCTGTGGCGTCAAGAAACCCAAGTCCTACAGGTCCCTGTTTGGGTACCACAAATATTTGGTGCCGTACTTTCATAGGGACCCAAAAGCGGGCCATAGTTTTGACCCGTGGAGTTTTGCGGCCAAGTCACTGGTGACAGCACATATGGCCCGGACATGGTCGACTCCACAGCCTCGGCTTTCGGGCCACGCTTCTTTTCAGGATTCCTTCCATTTCTGTGCAGCTTTCGTGTTGCTACTCTTCGTCCTTTGCTTTGCGAATACAACCAGGGTCTTCAGTTTTGCCAACTATGATCACTACTAACTTCCCAGCACTGTAACACCACAAAAATTCAATACTCATCTGCTGCTACGACGGCTTGACTGCGATGGCACCGACAACTACGAAACTGCAACAACAACTACCACCACCACCGCCCCCCAAAAAAGCATCTCCGAGCGTCCTTCTCCCGGGAAGCACGTCGGGTCTTGCGCGCCTGGCGGTCCAGGCTGTCTCGCCAGAGTCGGCCAAAGACGCCTCGGCTCGCATCCCAACTACGGCTCACGTCCCAAAATGTAACGGTAAGATAGTGAAGGCCTTAATAATTAATTAGCATTGGGTTCTAGGGTCATTATACTATATTATACTGTAATTATCATAAGGCCCCCCCCCAAAAAAAATAGTATTGGTACTTATTCAGGCCACTATAGCGTTTTTATTTGTTGCCGGCTCTTGTAGTACTGGGCTTGGGGTTTCGACTATAGCAAATTGCCCACGGTAGACTTAGATTAGAGCTTAAGGGGTGCAAGCTTTTGCGATCCTCAGTGTGCTTTGGGGAGGCTTTGTGGACCCAGAATTTGCCCCGAAGCTGGTGCAACGAGGCCTCGACAAAGACTCGTGCAATTGCGTGGCTTCGGTTCCAGAGTCTAAGTGACTTGTGAAGTCAGGTCAGCTGTCGGACACCAAGACACAGATGTCCCAGCACAACTGATTGGCCAGTCATCCCCCCAACCCGGTAATGAGACTCCAAACCACGCCCTGCAATACCCTGCCAAGAGGCCAGAAACCTCGTAGAAGGTAGTGGAGTGCTTCAGATGCTGCACTTTCAGCAAGCCTTCGGGTTCATCAAAGCTGCAGAGATGCTTATTTCCGAGCTTTCGCCTGGCATGTTGAGCATATCATCCTTGCAAATCTGGACGTCTCTTTCGAGGGTAACTTTTGGATGAAACATTGGGGTGTGAGATGGAAGCTCAGTTATGTATCGAAAAGGCAGTGGATTCAAGTTCTGGTTGCCTTGTTTCCTGCTCTTGGCATACAGAAGCCGCAAGCACCAAACCCTCTACCTCGACGTCGCCGTGTCTGCGGATTCAATACATCATTAACAATCTTCCAGCAGCCAAGGCTCAGCGCTGTAAGTGTTCATCCTGCAGACGTGCATCTGGCACATACTGGAGAATGCACGACTTCGAAACGACCACCACTCGAGAATGGTGACCACACCCTTGCAGAAATGACAAGACCCAGAAATGATCAACTATGCGCTATAGATCAAACACACTTTCTACGTCAAGCTCTGTAATCAAAAACAGCTTGAACGAAACGCTTTTCTGAGCAAACCCTAAACCCTGCCCAAACGCAGGGTGACGTCCTTCTCAAGAGCTGGAGAGCTCTTCAAGGCCTCTTCAGCCATCCTGACCTTTCAAGAGTTTCAATCCAGGTCGCAGTGTTTTCAACATAGGGGCCTACACAATTACCAATACTATATTGGGGGGTTCCTTATCATAAGTTATTTTATACTGGGCACCAAAACCCTATTCTAAGTATTCAGGCCCCTATCTCGCATCTCGAACTCCGCCAGACGAGGTCTCTCGGTTCGGAAGTGCTTTGACTGGACAGACTACGAGCTGACAATCAGTGTACAAGAGGATTTGGGGCTTAGTGTTCAGGGGTGAGGGAGAAGCTAGCAAGCTAGCCATACTAAAATCTACTTTAAAGTCTTAAGCCCGGGCCGAGCCCGGTCGGCTCCACCTTTAGGTGGATCGGCTTCTGTAGGGCTTAAGGCTTGTCGTAAAAGTGTTCAAGTTTGGTCCTAGCAGACTCCTAGGTCTTAAATCGCAAAGCCAGTGGCCCTACAGCCATAGCCCAAATCACTCAAAACGCCTCCCACTCAAACAAAAAAAACAAACAGCCTTGAAAACACGAGAATTCGCCAACTCAACGTCAGACCTGGTCATTGAGCATGGCAACTGCTTCCCGGGTTTTCACATTCTCTTCGACACCTCGGGATGACAGTTTTCTAGTTTAAGGGTCCTGTTATGCAAGATTATGGTGAGTATCGTTGTTGCCAGAACCACCACTAAAAAGTTTAGTGTTTGTGTAACTTATTGCTATTATCATAAGAGGAATGATAAATATTGTTGTCATTCTTAATATCACTATCTTGATTTTGTATTGTTGGTAGTATCACGGTTGTCACTGTTGTAACAACATTAAGTAGTCTTATGACTGTCATTGTCTTCGTTATTACTAAGCTTACATCAATCATGCTACCAATATTGGTATTCTTATGCTTTGTATTATTGCTTGAACGTTCTTCTGCTTCGTATTGTTATTACTATTGCTATTATTAGTATTACTACTATTACTAGTTGTATGGCTATTATTCTTCTTGTCATCATTTTTTATTATTACTCATTTATGGGCTACAGTTACAGGATCTTTCGAGTTTTTGTCAGGCTTTGGGGTGTTGTTCGCAGCCTTTTGCCAGGTTTTGGGTGCTAGGGTGTCAGGGCTGTTTGGGTTTAGAATGGCTTAGTGTTCGGGCTTCGGGCTTTTGGCTTAAGCTTAGGAGCGTTCTTTAGCATCCAGGGTTCTGCGCCACATCTCCCAACATCTCGAAGCTTAGCAGACTGTTTCGCCAGACACTGCAAGGATGCTCAACACTGCAGCGCCGAAGGTTACTCCAACTTAACTTCAATCGCGATTGGCCGAAGCCCACAACGACGAGACCAACGAATTTCCGTAACTTGATTGCGAATTTCAGGCATTCAAGATCCAGGACGAGCTAAAGCGTTGGGACTGAGCTCCTCGGCAAAAGTGAAGTCAATCATTATTCTAAACTCTGACACCACGAGCCATAAACTAGTCTGTTTCGCGGAGGCTCGGAAAGGGGCGTCGGTGTCAGGATGGCTCGGTATTGAAACAGGTTGGAACCTAGCCCCGAACCGAATCCCAACCCCTTCTAAAACTCCCAAAAATCGAAATGTCCTGAAATCTTGCGCCTTCAGCTAAAAGCACAACCGCGCGAGACCCCGGTTAACGCACTGAAATCCTGAAGTTCAAGGCTTCATCCACACATCCTAACATCCTGGTAATCATCGCTTCAGGGTTTCGAGTTTAGGATTTATAGGGTTTAGGGCTTCGGCGCTTAGGGTTTAGGGTTTAGGATTAATCCTAATCGCAGCGCCGAAGTTTTGAACTTTTGTGTCAAGCCGCTGCTTCGCAACGCAGCCGCAACAGAAGCAGTAACGTCGCACATGTCGTCCAACTCGCTATGCAGCTCCTGTTCACAGCTGGCTGCCACCCATGTCGTCTTCAAGAGCTACAATGAATATGAACACAGCAGCTGCGAGTATGCTGAGAGTCCTGCGAATGGTACTAGCACTGACCGAGTAACCAGAAAAGTGGAAGTAGACGTACTCGTAAAAGTAGTGTGGTCGTCGTCGCAGTACCAGTAGCAGTAGCCGCAGCAGCAGCAGGAGCACGAGCAGGAGCAGTAGCAGCAGCAGCAGTAGGAGCAGCAGCAGCAGTAGGAGTCAGTAGCAGCAGCAGGAGCAGTAGCAGTAGCAGCAGCAGCAGCAGGAGCAGGAGCAGGAGCAGTAGCGGTAGGAGCAGGAGTAGTGGTGGTGGTAGCAGTAGTATCAGTAGCAGTCGTAGTAGTAGTCCCCCGAGCCTGTACGGCTGCCGCGGCTTCCACTGCCGCAGCTAGTGGGCCTCAAACATTCTGAGCCTACGGGAGGAAAGGGTCCCCAAGTCCTAAACCCGCTTGAGTTTCTTTTAGGCTTTTCGGATGACATGTCCATCTCTGGATTTGTGCGCATCTTTGCAGCTGCCGTTGAACTTGAAGCCCACCATGCCAGTCACAAAAACATGAATATGGAGTATGTCATTGGAAAGCAAAATGCCAAAAATCGATTAGGATGTGCGGTGTGCCGCATCTAAGATCCTAAACTGACGAGCAACTAACTGCACGAAAATGTATCATGCCGCTGCATAGCAACAATCATTCCAGCAGAAACACGCGTCCAGATCCTTGTTGGCCCTCAATCAACCCCCGAAAGAAGCCCGTTATGAATCATAAACTCCTATGTCTACGCATCCTAAACCTAATATACGCATGTGTGCATATATACATATACATGTATATTTGTATAAGCACATATGTGTATGCATATATTTTTGCCTATACCTATACACATATGAGGGTGCGTGAAAACCCCCGCCCATTTACTTGATCCTTAGTTCGCTTATCTTTTTTTCCGCCTCTTATCGTTTCACGGGACCCTGGATGACTTCGGGACTGTAGGATGTAGCACATCTTCATGATCGTTTCATTTTACTCTCATCGTCTTACAAGGAAATCGATTGCTCATTCCCCCCCTAAAGGGGGGGGTGGGGGACCCCTGAGGGTATGCCGGAAATAGGTCCGGGACCTATTTTGGGTGGGTCTGACACCCCTAGGCTTCGGGTGGGGGGTCTGGCTAGGACATGCCTCGACTGGGAGAGAAAACCCTCATCGGTCCCACTCGCAGTTTAGGGTTGAGGTTAAGCTTGACGGAAACCGGAGTCTGAAACAGTCAGTGGCTTCACGGATGTTCTCCCAAATGGATATGTGGAGAAAGCGTGGTAACCGAGGATATATCAAGTCGCTTCCGCAATATATATATATATATATATATATATTTACTATAATTTATGATTTCGCAAGTCAATCGCATCCCTGCGCAGCGGAACGACCAACCTTTTTTTCGAGCCTTCGCACTTCGGAAGCTCTGATTCGCACTCCCCGGAAGTCCCCAGTATTGCGGAGGGCTCACAAGCGCCCAGAGCTTAGAGCCTAGAGTCCTAAACTTTACACGTAGCAGCTCGAGCCCTCGACCCTGCAGCTTAATCCAAACTTGGCCCAACATGCCCGAAACCCTCAGCCGTCGCAATACGAAAGAAACTACCCCGCTCCGTTCGGCAGACGGACGGCCTCACATGTCACTTGCAGGACGTTGGTGAAAAAGGCCCGCAACCCACTCAGATTGGGATTGCCTTGGACCGGGATGCATTTACACATGAACTGGAGGCATACAATCTTCAGTAAAAGCATGCGGTAAATCCGGACTGATGCTGACAAGTGACTCGCCTAAGGCAGCAGCACACGTAGCTGATTGAACACATAAGAGGAGAAGCGGAAGCCTCGCAGGTCCCCGGCTTCAGATGCCGCCAGGAAGAAAGTGGCTGTGCGATTCACGAGGTCGTCATACTTGTGATCGTCGTTCTTCAGGCGTACAAGCCCGCCTTGATGCACTGGCATACCCAGTCGCTGGTATTGAGTTGAGAGGCCCTGGAAGAAAAGCTGGATCTGCTCTGGAAGCCTGTGCTTCGTGAAGGTTCTCTCATTGAACTCCAAGAAAGAGGGCGGCTCAGCCGTTGGCACTTCAGAATTCTCCTCGGCCAGCTGTGCCACATCTGGCAGTTTGGCTTTGCGAAGCTTCTGGAGGCCTTCACGGCTGGCCTCGCCCAGGTTGGCATAGAACCTGGTGCTCGTTTCCCGGATCTCAGCTTTGATCTCGCAAACCACGCTGCCAGCAGGATCAAGCAGGAGGATGTTGGAGGCCACACTCGTGGCCCAATGCCTGTCCTTGGGAGCCTCGGTGTCAACGGTGACTTCACTGAGCAGGCTCACGTGGATCATTGGTGATGCCGGCATGCAAAGGAAAGGGCGAAGGATACGATGCTCGGATGCTTGCAGCTTTGTCGTTTTTTTTCACGGCGGCTCCACGATGCACGGACATGCAGAGCCACAAAGCAACGGTAGGGCGGCCTCGCTGGTCCTGGAGACGGAGAACCAGCAGCTGTGGATCGGAACCGTATGCGCGCACATCCTTCAAGGGCACCAAGCCGTCAGTGTCCTCCTTGCTTGCAGGCTTCTGGATGCCTTGCACGATCTTCCCAGCAGCCTGCATCCAAGCTGTTGCTCGGCTCTTTCTCTGTGAAGACAAGTCCGCGACTTTGCGAGCCTGGGCTAGCAAATGTTCACCGAGATTCCATGGATTCAAATCGCACTGGCCATTCTCCAATACGGCTGCTGTCAGCACCCCTTCCTCTAGCCTCGCGAGCCGGATCAGCTGCCGACAAGGGCCTGCCAGAAGCGTGAGCCTGCGGAGCATGCCCTTCTCGCCCGTGGTGTTTTCCAGGTCTAGGCACGACCCCCCCTTTCGAGCAACCTTCCGAACCACGTCCTGCAAGGTCTTTGGCGCATCAGCGGACTCGTCGGCCTCGGGCGGGATCAACTCGTCGACAGATGCGACAGCTTCGAGAGGTGCTTCGGCAGCGGGGGGTTCCCTGCGGCCGGTTGCTCGTCTGCGGCCGGAGGTTTTAGCAGTTCCTGCACCTCCTCGCTGAGGACAGCTCGGTCATGCACCGTTTGAAGCTTTTGCAAAAGCTGCGATTGCACCTCCAAGTCCCGACCCTCCAGATCAAGCTCTTCCATGTCCGGGTGAAGGTCATCTAGGTCCTCGGGATCGTCAGCCATGTCGGCCGGGGTGCTTGGGAAGAGGCTGTGGCTTTCGGAGTTCCAGAACTTTAGGAGGTTGGTGGTGAGGTCAGCAGGTGTGACATCGATGCAGATCCAGCAAAAGAGCTGGATGGCAGTCCCGAGGGATACACCGCATAGCTTCTGAAGCTCATCGTGGCCCAAGGGCTCACGGCTCTGACATGTCCGACTCGAGGCTTCCTTTTCCAAATGCTCAGCACTCAGCTTGGCTAGCACCCGTGCTTGCTTGGCGTGGCATCGCAAGATGCCGTACTGGCAGTCGCCTAAGCTCGGTTGCCCAGCGAAGCCGCTCTTCAGGCGGCTGAAGTGCTGCTCGACTCCGATTTCTGTGACACAGCGTGCCTCGACGGAGGTCCTGCAGGCGGTGACTGCGAAGGCAGCCAACATGGCAGCATTCCGGAATGTGACGGGTGAAAGCGTCTCCGAGGTGCTCCGTTTCAGGGTCCAGTTGTGGACTCGGTGCAGAAGCAGCAAGTGGTATGCACTGAAAGCGTTCAGAGCACTCTCGCTCTTCGTGAAGCCTGGTGAACCACTGGTGGCAGAGCACAGTAGCGCTGCGATGAGCCCTGGGATGTGCACCGGAAGAGCCACCCAACTCCGGCCGATGAAAGGCGGAGATAGCTTCATCACAGCATGCGAATCGCTCATGGGGTCGGTGCAAGCATAGGCCCGGGGCGGCAGCTTGTTCATGAGCCATGAGCAGGCTGCTCAGATCGATGTATGCATCGCCGTAGCGGACCTTACGACACCCCGAAGAGTGCTGCAAAGCGTACCGTTTGGTCACGTACCAGCTGCCGTTGTTGGAGGTCATCAGGAAGGATTTTCTGTAAACCAACTCCCCGAAAGGCCAAACTTTGTAGGGCAGCCTCTGAACCTCACCGAACCGGAAGAAAGGCAGCTCTGCCCAGTCCTTTTGAGGAAGCAAGCCACACAATGCCAGGCACAGTTTGCTGTTAGCAGACCCACCATCAAAATCACATCCTTGGGGAGGGATTCCTCCGCTGAGAACATGGGCGGCGAGGCTCAAGACGAGGTCGCTGCTGCTGTTCGCCTCTTTGCGAGGTACATGGCAGAGGTCGAACACCCATCGACACGAGCCCGCTGGATTGCGAAGTGCAAACTGGTCCGTGCCAGGGCGTCCGCCGGCACATCCTGTGGCTGCCACTGGGCAGGATCTAGATCCGACCAGTCCAGGGCTTTGTCGAGGTCCCAAGCGCCACCCACCAGCGATGATTCGCGACCGGAGTCCCCAAAGAGCCCTTTGACCTGAGACAAGTCCCGAGCCCACGTTGTCTCGTCGATCAGCAGATGCAGCCTGCTGCCCTGGGCATGCAAGTGTGCCGCGGCCACCTGGAAGCAGTGCCCCAGACGGTGAGCATCTGTAATGCTGCAGTAGCTGCTCGGGCTGCTCTTCGTATCGATGTGAAGCTTTGGGAGACTCTTCGGATTCATGCCAAATCGTCGAAACATCTCTTGCACCTGCTGGCCACGACCAAGAGTCTCGAGTGCTGCTGCCACGGCTGCCTGGTCGATGAACTCGGATGTTGTCTTCCTTTGGCGGCACGACCTGTGGAGTGTCTCCAGAAAGGAGGTGACCATGGAGTCAACGAGTGAATCGGTCCTCAGGGCTCCCGATGCGACCTTCGCCGCCAGCCGGAGATCGAGCTGGCGCACCGTCCCATTCGCCACGGCTGCAGTCAGCGAGGACGCTAAGGCGGTGTGCGCGAGGGCTTGCACATCCGACTTATGATGCAGATGCGTCTGAACCAAGTTGTCCTCCAGCCAAGCTCGCATGCTGGCCGAGATTCTCCAACTGGGCATGCAATCGAACTTTGTCCGGATCATTCGCACGGCATTCAGCTTGGCGGTGCAGCTAGCGATCTTCTGCAAGTCCTCGCCAGCTAAGCCTGCCTTCATGTAGTCGCTCTCCTTCATCTCATTGACGAGGGTTGCCACCTTAGCATCGTTCGTGTGAAACAAAGCCCAGGCGAGGCGGACCAGGTCGATGTGATAAGCTTTGGTGGCGAGGTGCTTCCTAAAGGCTCGCCCCTTGCAGAGATCACGGCAGTGCTTGCATGAACCGTCCTCTTGCTTACACTCCTTGGCACAGTTGGAGGCCTGCACTTGCACGACGTCGTTGGGCTTGCACAGAAACTGGCAGCCGCCGAAG